GCATGAATGACGCCCTCTTGCTAAATGGGAAACTTTTGAACCTTGACCGACGCTTCTATTTGTTACGCGTAAATCGCGGAGAACGCTATCTTGTGTTTATAAGATCTTTGATTTAGAGATTTAGAGCAATTTAGAGACAGAATAAAAGAAATCGAGTATGGGATGCCAATTAAATTAGGTATGGCGCGCACTAAGTGCAATAAAGAGTGAGTAAACTAAAATTAGAGCGTGACGCACCGTTGAGGGCGATAATTTAACCAGAGCTTTGGTGATTTTAGTTAAAAGATGAATTGTGGCAAAGACAAGCCAAACCAGTCACTCGTTGCAAAATTCGATTTTGAGTTATTAATACAGGGTTAAAGAGTAAAATAAGAGCTATAAAAATGGTAAAAAAAAAAAGTCATTCAAATCCGACATTTTCTTATGAAGTTACAAGGGACATGCAGCTTTTTAAAGAACAATATATACGAAATCAGCCTTCAAAGTTCATGTTTTGGGCATTTTCCATGCAGAAACTATCATCAAATCCTTAAAAAGTGTTGTTTTAACATTGAAAATGGGGAAAATAACAGAATAGCATGATGTAGGCCTATAGATATATAAGGTTAGTTTAGTGCAATAGATTTTTAAAAATTTGACATTCCTGAAAATGATAACTATCATTAAAAAAATAATAATTTTTCTCATTTCCGATTTAAAACTACTGTTTTATACTCGATGACTGCCTGTAGGCTGCCTGTCTCCTCTGCACTTAATGATCATGTAATTAATAAATTGGTTGAGCAATTGAGAAAAATTAAACATTTGAAAAACATTAAGAAAACTGAACTTGGTTGATAGGCCTACTACATAAACATGCTGGAATATCAACATTTTTGAAATCTATTTTATTGCACTAAACTAACCTTTATAATTATACATATACATCATGCTATGTTAATATTTTCCAAATTAAAACAAAATTATTTAACGATTTGTTGATGATTTCTGCGAAATTACTTAAATAGAAAACTTTAAAGACTGATTTCTCAAAATACCGTTCTTTAAACAGTTGTATGTTTAAACTCTTGTATCTTCATAACGAAATGTCGGATTTAAATGATTGTTTTAACCATTATATAACTTTCATTTTACTCTTTTACATTGTGTTAATAAACATTTTTTTTTGTTGCGAGAAGTGACTGGTTTGGCTTGTCTTTGCCACATATAGCCCTACTTAAATAAACGCCCCGCTTAATTGCACTGTAAATGTCACATAGGTTAATTACCGTCAAAATGGGTTATGGAACTTATGCGTGCCATAAAGACTTACTGATTTCAACGAGGTTAGAAAAAATATAATCTACTGGAGTAGAACATTAATAGAATGGGTTGAGAATGATGTTGCGTCCATTTTGACTGGGGGGGGGGGAACCGTTAATTCGAGGGGCGTTTATTCAAAGGCGGGGGTTTTTTATACCCTATTTAGAAAACCCGACGACCGCCAATAATGATCATTTCGAATAAAAATGAAATTTTATTTTTGGCCAATTAGTGCAACCGCCGCCACAAAAAAACATGGAAATTTCCGAAAAAAAAACCAAAATGACAGTTTCACTTTATTTTTATTACGCTCCCTGCTACCTTGGAATATCCAAATATGGGCCTAAAATATGTATATTCCTTTAAATGTAAAGCATTTAACCATCTCATTACTACACTGTTTTCATTATTCACCAATAAAATTTTATTTTCATTTTCTACTCCGTTTGGATGTTTTGGCAAAATTATTTGCTAAAGAAGAAAACAAAATTTTATTTTTATTGTTTTTCCGCACCTCCTTTGACGATCTTTAAAAAATAAGTTCGCGAAACAAAGTATACAAAAAAGTCTCGCCTGTTTAGTATTCCAATAAATAAGGTATATATGCATTATTAGAGTTCTTGTACTAAAATTTAAAAGAATCAAAGATGGTACACTTTTGGCTCTGCGTGTCAGCGGGGCCGCATTTGTTGCCACTACGCTCGTGTAGGCCTACGCACGCCCGCGCACAAAATGCGCAGTGTTCTAAAACTGCAATGTGATTTTGAATAATATTATGTTACTGTTTTAGGAAGCTAGGGTGGGATAGGCTAGTTCTGTTTAATTTCAGTAATAAAGAACTGACTGTTCAGTATAATGTTTAGGAATATTATGAATTTCATTTGTGTTGCATTGACCACAATGGCACTTATTCGACAGAGTAGGGCTGCCGCTATATCGACCACCCAGGATCCGTTATTGGTAGCAGCAACTTTTTTGAGCGATGCAGGTAGGTTGGAAGGATGACATTCACATTGTATTCACGTAAGTTACTTTTTAGTAACACCAGGCATAGGCCTAGGCCTAGCCTAGGCCTAGTAATAGTAGTAGTACTACTTTCAGGCCAGCCTAGTATAGGGGGCCTAGGCTAGTCTACCTAGTAGTAGACCTATTAATAATAATAATAATAATAATAATAATAATAATAATAATAATAATAGCAGAGATGCCAAGTTTGTAAGTTATCTGGGCGTGAGAAAGTTCAAACAATCGAGGAACTCCAAGAAATAAAATACACGACATTGTTTTAAATCAATACTTCATCGATTTTCTAACGAGATACTCTACCTCCCGGCACAGCAGTGTATTTGTTTTGTTTTGTGTTTTTTTGTTTTTTTTTGCCGGCGTGAGAAAATGATTGTTGGGCGGGTGAGCGTGAGAAGAGGCGCTGAGACTTGGTAGGTCTGAAATAATAACAATAATAATAATAATAATAACAACAACAATAACAATAACAATAACAACAATAACAACAACAACAACAATAACAACAACAACAATAACAAGAACAATAACAACAACAACAATGACAACAACAACAATGACAACAACAACAATGACAACAACAACAATGACAACAACAACAATGACAACAACAATGACAAAAACAACAATGACAACAACAACAATGACAACAACAACAATGACAACAACAACAATGACAACAACAACAATGACAACAACAACAATGACAACAACAACATTAATATCGTCGACGACGACGACGACGAAGACGGCGACGACGACGGCGACGGCAACTGCAGCAGCAGCAGCAGCAGCAACAATAATAATATTAATAATATTAATATTAATATTAATAATAATAATAATAATAATAATAATAATAATTAATACCGGCCTAATACAATAATATGGTGATATTAAAAGCTATATAATTGTTGTACTCTATTGATTACAGATTGTAGATTGTTTGTCAATCGACGACTTGTAATGGATGGCTTTCAACCACATCCAAATGATTACACAGATACTTGCTATAATATGCTGAGAGATTTGATGGTATCGCCATTAGGGAACTATAACCGACGTGACTGGAACGCATTCATGAATTTCCTAGGAGATAAATCCCCAGCTATTGCAAACAGTAAAATAAATAAAACGTTCTTGCACATAATGCCATATGAAGTTACTGATTTGTCCGATTTCTATTAGGCCAGGCCTATACCAGTATTTTCATCATAGGTATGTACTGTACAATGATTTCTTTTTCTTTCCAGTTGTCTCAATGATGCCTATAACTTTTGATGCTTAGAAGAATTGGAGATCGCTTATTGGCCAATATAGTTACTCGAATGAATGACGTAACAAGCAGACTTGATCATTTAAAAATGCTTGATCAAATACGATATTAACTGGTGAATTATGTAAATGTATACCTGTACTTTACTTAAAGATAATAAACAGAAATAGATATTATTTAAGTCTACTTCTAAGCCTACTTTGTTTAATGAATTTTGTCTTATAACATTGGCTTAAAACAGGGGTGGGCATAAAAATCGGTCGGAGGGCCAAAGTGAATTTTTGATTTAACACCGAGGGCCGCACCCAGACTTCGATGTTAGCAGTGAGCTTTCAAAAACCTCCAACCACTGCTTTTCATCACTTTATTCTCAGTTTCAATGTTACTTTTTACATACGATTTGTGTCGGACCGTAAAAAACAAGGTGTTTTTCTAGACAATTTTGATTTGCGGGCCGCGATAGGGTTTTATTTCATTGTCACGGGCCGCAAAAAAATCGCTGACGTACCGCACTTTGCCCACCTGTTGCTTAAAACTTACCTTTACCGCATGGAAAAGATTCTAACATCCCTTAGGATGTCCCTTCGAAATCCTTTTATTAGTTACTCTACAGATTGTTCTACGATAAAATATGGGCAAGCTAACCACAACACACGAATTACAGTACTATAATAGGTCTAAATAGTTTTCAAATATCAAATCAATTTCAAGTGCTGACAATTAACTTCAAGATCTTGTTAACTGTATACAAGTCACTACATATTCACACCGCACCCCACCATTTCCATTTCAATTTTACTACGTTCTACTGTTTGCAATCACACTCGGTCTACATCTTCACCTACAGTTCTCAACTGTCCTATTGGTCACCTTAAACTTTGTGGCGCGCGATCATTCATTTATTATTGCTGCTCCGAAGCTTTAGAACCAACTACCTTAGATTGTGGGAGACTCTCTTTGAATGTCTTCAAGTCTCGGCTTAAATTCCCCCCCCCTAAACCCCCCCCCCCCTATTTTTTGGCATCTTTTTGTGCGAGACGATTTTGTATGAGCTTTACATTCAAGTATATCGCCATACCAAGATGGTTTGTAGATCACTATTCTGTACCATAAGGCCTATCAATTCTGCACATGAAGCTGTGTGTGTTCCATAATGTCCAAATGAATGTACGTGTAATAAGGTGAAGTGATTTGAGGCCTTGTTGGCCACTAAATAAGACTAACATTATTATTGCTTAACAATTTAGAAATTATGAAATAAACAAGAATTGGAAACCAGTTTACTTCACTCTATGCCTTTCATTTTAATGAGTCGCTTAAAAATATTCTGATGCAAGTAAAAAATATTCATATCCTCTCAATTTGTGTACTACAAAATTATAACTCTTTTCCACTTAATACAGGGAATACGATGAATACCATTACAAATAAATACTGTATAGATACACATGAAACATATTCCGTATAATTCATGATGTATTTAAGCACTAATGTTTACCAATCTTATCTGTAATATATGAATATACTTTATATAGGCCTAATTATCAGTTTGTGAATTATATGACCTATGAATATAAAGTGGCATTTGCTCAGGATAAGACATTTCCACAAGAAGGCTTAGAGTTTGATTCAAAACACAATAATCCCACTTATTAAAATTTAAATAATATAAAAACATTCAGATAATTATTTTGGTTAAAATTGATCCAGATGCAAATTTATATTCCGTGTTACATTTTACATTACAAAGTTGATTAATTTCTTATTATAATTATGTGAAAGACAAATAATGGATAAACAAAACTTGAGAAAAAAAGTAGGGTGGGGGTGGAGCAATATTTAAAATTAACATCTAAAGTAGTACAAGAGCCATTGCTCAGACCAATTTTAAGCAATATCTTAAATTTGTAAAAAAAAGTTCACCCCTTCTCATCATAAAACATTAGTGTTACAGTTTCCACTTGTAACTATCTTCGGCAAGTTTAGGTTTGTTGTGCGCAGATGTGAATACAGCTTCTACTCATAATAAATAAGATTACGTTTTAAAAACCGTTTTCAAACCACTTACACAATTACGTGTGGTGTAAGTAGCTTAAAACTGATTAAAATAAGCAATTGAGGGTATAATAATTGTCTATTAAAATTACGTCTACATATGATATACAAAGTAACATACGGTTATTATAATTGCACCCCTTAAGTTCAATATCAAGGCACAGTAGGGTTGTTTTCAAAGGTATCTTTTATAGCATTATATCACTAAATTATCAAATCAACCTTGGTATAACAGGTACATCATAATACATTATTGAATTAAAGGCCACAGTTTTGTAAAAAGCACATACAGTATTATAGCATGATGAATAAAAAGTATAGCCTCATTAGTCTGTACAGTATAAAACAGAATAAAGTGAATAACAGCAGCACTTTTGAGACTAACAATATATAATTTAACTGTGGACTTCATCAGGAGACTGATGAAGTCCACTGTGTGGACGAAAGCTAGAGAATAAATAATATATTGTTAGTCTCAAAAGTGCTGCTGTTATTTACTTTATACAGTATTATAGCAGTATAAGCAAGAAACTATAAGACAGTGTAATAATGATCTTGCATCTATTTCAGAACAGCTACAGTATTTGTAAAGCCAAACACACATCATCAGACTGTGTATTACTGTATATCAGATTTATGGTCTACGGATTCCACTGATAAAGTTTCATTAGACTGTTATATACAGTGTTGCATATCTGATAATGTGCATTAATCCAAGTCTGACAACAATCAACACAGTCATATGTCTTGATTTTACAAAGCTTTGAAAAGAGAAAATATATAATTGAGTTAGAACCTGGTATGCGCAGCAACTGAACACCAGGATCCTGGGTTGTCAAGGTAACGACCTCAGCTACCAGGCCACTACATTAAATATGAGTCTTTATATAATATTTTATGGATGTTTGGTACAAAAATATAACATTAATAAATATATACAATACAACACTAAATAATGAAATAGAATGGATCTATATAGAAGCACCCGATGTTAATTAGACACTGCATATCAATGAATGCATATAAAAATATTTAGGAATTAGGTGGCATCCACATTCACAAATACAACAGTAAGATTGTGCAGGGGTGGGGGGGGGGATAGAGGGTCAACAGAATAGGCTATTATATACAATGTTGACATAACTTCACCTACCAATTTTAAAGACCTGTTTATACAATCAACATTTTTTAGTATGTATATTTTAAAGCCCTGTCCTGACTACCAAACCTTATTTGACAAAAATCTGTTGTATGACCATCAGACATGTCACATGTTGTATGACCATCAGACATGTCACATGTTGTATGACCATCAGACATGTCGCATGTTGTATGACCATCAGACATGTCGCATGTTGTATGACCATCAGACATGTCGCATGTTGTATGACCATCAGACATGTCGCATGTTGTATGACCATCAGACATGTCACATGTTGTATGACCATCAGACATGTCACATGTTGTATGACCATCTGACATGTCACATGTTGTATGACCATCAGACATGTCACATGTTGTATGACCATCAGACATGTTACATGTTGTATGACCATCAGACATGTCACATGTTGTATGACCATCAGACATGTCACATGTTGTATGACCATCAGACATGTCACATGTTGTATGACCATCAGACATGTTGCATGACCATCAGACATGTCACATGTTTTTGTCAAATAAACCTGATAGTCGAGACAGGGCTTGAGGCATAGAAACAGTACCACAATCTTCCTGCACCACTGAAAATACTTATTAATGTGAAGGGCATTGGGACGCAGTGAAAATAGCATTAAAATAATATATTACATATCAGAAAAGCTATATAATTGACATCATATTATAATATATGTATACTAACATATATGTGCAAAAAATAAAAGTATATTTCCTTAATAATTACAAGCATACTTAATTGTGAAACAATAACAGAAAGCTTGTAGTAAGTGAACAACAGGGATTAAGCCTCATAAAATAAGTATAACAATAAAAAAATGTTACATATATTATACATCACTTGTAACACTCTGTTATCCTATAAAGGTATTTCACAGACCCAGTTTCTTGAGAGAAAAATACTAAATTAAATTTTCTTTTAATGTTTTCACCTCTTGATTATTTTGGTTACTAAAAAACAGAGTAAATTTGAGAAACATACTAACATAACAATTTCATATAAAAATTCATAATTGACATGGAAACATTAGGATAATTGGCTAGTGCTCACGTCACAGAACGTATGAAGTTGTACAGGCTATCAATTAACCAATCAAATAACAGAGATTTTCCACATTGGCTCATTTGAATTAGTTAATTTCAAATTAGAATATTCATAATCACAGGCATGAATGAGTGACAATAGGCTGTGGAGGCTGCCTGTCAACAAGAGCCTTGAAACACACCCCTTCATGTTGGTATAACCATGGTTAATGTTTATTTTTTTAACTTTCTCTTTCAAAAATGTTTTTTACAAATCAATACATGTCTCACCTAATTGAAACAGAAGTCAAGGATTCAGATAAAACACATACCCTAAGGGATAAAATGACAAAACTGGCAAGAATATCATATAGTGGGTTACACAGAATGATAAAAAAGGACAAATTCACAAAACACACCTTTCCTTTGAATATTATATCTGGACTTCTGTGACTGAACATAAATAATTGTAAAATAGATGAATATATGAATACAAAAGCAAGGGGAAAAAAGAAAAAGAAAATTAATATTTTGGTCTATCTCTATCTAGTATCAGTAATGTCGTTTATAACAAAAATATAATAAACATACATGCAACTATAAAAAAAAACCATTTAAAATACAATACACATTCTATAGTTGTTGATTTTTTAGCATTTATACAATTCATGTTATTAAAATATGTAAAGTTTTGTCATTTGGTTGTTAATTATTATTGCTTCTATTTTAATGTGTGCAATGCAGCATATCCATATTAAAGGATATCTTCAAAATTACCTCTTGATGGTGTAACAATAGCTTACTGTTTCAAATTGTTCCATTCCTTATATTTAGCCTTACAGATGGCTTTTGTGGACTACAACAAATTCCAAGTCATTCGTTCACCATAAAAAACCTTTCGAACTTTTAAATATTTTGTTATCATTATAATATTAATTCCTTGCTTTAAAAATAGCTATTTGATATATGTTCTTTCATGAGGTCTAATAATCTATATCCAGGTCCCTGTTTAAAAGTCCTGGATTCTGCACAATCACGCGAAGTAACAGAGTGTTGAGGTATTCTTGTGTTTCACGCATTACTGTTGACTGTTGGTGCAACTGCTCTTCAAGATCCAAGATTTTGCCAGCAAGATCCTGAAAGATCATAAATTTAAACATTATTTCAGTACATCAAATGTGTAATGCATATTATAAAAATATAAAAAATCCTAAAAATGATAAATCAGTTGACTTTGTTGGAGTGTTGGACAGTATCATTATCAAGATCCAGATTGGAATCATTACTTTCATCTCAAATGCTTATAGAAAATGTATAATGTGAAGAGTAATAAGACAAAGACAGGTGACATGCTCAAAATATGGTTATGCTGACATCACATCATGATTACACTTAGGCATATCATAGTCTCTTGTCAAAGAAAATTTGATAATCTGGATAGCACTTAAATATACTGAATGCATGTTCAGTTTATGGATAATCCTCTTTAAACTTGGGATTACAAGAGAATGCTAAAACCAGGGAAGAAAATTTTATTAAAATATTTCCAGTCATGTACAGTATTCTGTTGGTTGCCTGAGAGTTTACCAGTGCTTGATGTTAGTGATGGAATGCATCTTTGTTATCAATACAGATTTATTCACAAAAGAGACATCTGTTTTAAGACAATAATTGCAACTTGTGGGGGACTTAACACATAGAATATAATACTGTTTATATGTATAATCTAGTACAGTATCTTACTCTGTCATCTGAACTTTCATTAAAGTCACTTAATGTTAGTTTAACAACTTGCGGAAGAGCTTTGTTTGCTTTGTTTTTTTTTGTACTGTATTACCATATTTATAAAGGGTTACCCTTCCAGCATATCCTAGGTCAGCTGATATTCAGGGACCCTCTTAAGAAAAATGAAATAACATGATGCTTTAATCAGCGAAGTCTCTTTATGAGGCTTAGGAAGTGGAGTGCTGTCACAGGATTTGAACCCAGGCCCTAGTATTAGAAGGCAAGCATCTTGACCACTAAGTTTTTTAAATCCACTCCAGTCTTCAAAGAACTTTGTAAATTGCAGTTCTCACAGTTGATGTGATGAACATGAAAGCATCTGATAATTATGATGATGCTCAAGTTGCATTCTCTAAAGCCATGTCCACAGTATCAAACTATATTTCACAAAAACATGTGACATGCCTATATATGGTCATGATGACATCACACCATTACCATATATAGGCACATCATGAACATATATGGACATACGAGTTTCACGTCAAAGGAAACTTGATAGTCTAGACAGAGCTTACCAACCAAAAAATAGATGGTGGATTCAGGATGTTGACATTTTTAACAGGCATAATATCAACCAATATCACAAGAACACATAAGACTGTAAGTAAACAAATGCATTACTGTACCTCTTTTGACATATTAGCAAACCTTGCCATAGGCGTTGACATTGCTTTAGGCTTGCGGTTCGGTCGTGTTGGCGCAACATATCCAGAACCAACGCTATCATCAATGTTTATAATCACCGGCTTAGGTTCAATTGGTGATGGTGTTCTGGATGACTCTACAGCAGTTGTGTCTTTTGGTGATGGTGGATCAACTGCAGCTTTCTTAGTTCCCACTTTCGATGGTATAACACCAGAATCTGTAGAATCTGCTGTAAGTCTGGCTGACTTTATCTGTGACTGAGCACCTGGCTTTGATTGGATGGATGTCTTTGTTTCAGCTGGAGGTGCCTTTGAGGGTGAGTGCCTGGGAGGTTTCACAGGTGGTATTTTGCTTGGAGAATCTGGTATATGGGGCTTATCTGAAGGTACAGTTGATGTTTTCTCTGGTTCTGGTTGAGGGTCTTGTGGAGGTTCTTGAGGAGGTTCTTGATGGCTTTTGGCAGGAATGGATAGGACTGCACCTGATGGCATTTGAGCTGAGCTATGGAAGGAGTGCCGGAACTTAACTAAAACAAAAAGTGAAAATTTTGTATTTAATCATTGAGAAACAATGTAATATACAGAACTGAAAAAAAAAAGAACAGGATTAAAGTATTCATTTTTTAATCTGTTTTATTCATTTTTTAATCTGTTTCTTCAATTCAATCAACTTAATCATAATTAAAACTTCTAATGCACCAATTCCAAGAAGAATGAGTTTTAAGAGCATGTGATAACATAAGTAGATGACCTAATGGAAATGCAAGAAGTTAGTTTGTTCCAAAGATGAGAGGCACAGATTAAGTGTTCTTTGGCCATACGTTCATGTGTGGAATTTCGGAACAGTGTGAAGATTTTTTGCGGAGAAGACTTAAGGTGACAAGTGGGCAAATAGTGAGTAAGATGATTAAGGTATGGAGGTGCACTCAGAAGAAATGCTTTAAACAATGTTAGTAGAGCATACCATCTCTCTGCACAGGCTTTTTCTCAGAGCCTTCATTGACACTTCTTAATTTATGGTGAGGTAAAGTCTGGTAACTTCTAAAAATATTAACATCTAAAGATGGCCTTCGTCTATCCATACCACCAGAATCCTCTTCCGTCTTGCTTGATTCTGTCTGCGATGAGTTGTTAGCATCTAAATTGAAGGGGTTTCTTGATCTTGATTTGCCTGGACTACTTGTGTTGGGATCTATATTAGCATATGGCACGTTGAGTCTGCGGTGAGCGGGAGCATACTTTGCAAGCCGTCGTCGTTGAGTTGGAGGAGTCTTTGTTGGCATCTTATTCAGGTCATTTGTGGATCCATATAATGGTGCTTTTCTCACAAAACTCTAATAAAATAAAACAAATGGAAAATTTCAAGTAATGTAACAGGAAAATGAGTTGTCTTAACAGAAAGGAAATTGGTTACAAATATTGAATTACACTATGAAAATCAAATTACATGAACGCCTTAATGATTTACAGTACGGATAGCGGGTAGTTAGCTGCTTCAGCCATAAACCGTATACTAATCTTACAATAAATTACACAGTAAATAAAGAATATAAGTCCCCATGGCAAATCCGATGCATATTGAAGGTCAAATGTTAAAAACTCCTACAAATGTATTCACTAATCAATAATTGAAGCATTTTTATTTGAATAACAATTCAAAAGGACAAGAAACTAGAATACAGCAAGCCTATGACTACAAATCTGTTGAATGAGTCATTAAATGAATAAAATATCTGCTAAATACATTAACAGGAAAATTTACTCCATCTCCTGCTGTGACCAAGCATATTTATGCAATATGGAACTACCTCCCCTGTGGAGACTTACCGGATCAGATGTTGGAATGGACTCTGGTGATGATGGGCTCTGCTTCATCTCCTGCGGTTTTACAACATTAGTGGATGATCGCTTCTCCTTCCTGGAATCTAAAATAGCAAACACACTACAAAGTTATTAAGTGGGTTCTATAAGGAAGTAGAAATATGTTATTTTCATTCTACATCTCACCACAATGCATAGGTCTTGCCTAATGCAGTGTTACAGAATTGAAAATATGGAAGACAGTACCTAATTACAAAGGTAATGGGGGAAAAATCCCCCAGAAAAATCTGATTAAACATGACTGGCCTAGTTTGACTTAAGAAAATTCATTAAATTTAATTCATTGTCATCATCATCGTCCTCATAGTATTATCTTACCATGGACAGAGGCCTTGTCATCCTTTTGTACTGAGGTCTTCTCGTCCTTGCCATCACCTGACTTTTTCATCTTGGCCATATTCCAGCTATGTACCGGTGTGTAAGGATTCAGACCCGCCTTTACCTGTATACTTATCTCTACATCTCCCCTTTCCTTTTTGCTCTTGGATGACTTGCCTTCTAGTTTGTACCAACTGCAAAGAAATAACTCAAATTCACAGTACAATATCATTGTATTTTTAAATATAATTATTATATACAGTATAATCACCTATATATAATAATTATATATTATAATATATAATCACTATACTCTTTAATATTATAACATTTTAAGAATAAAAGTAAGTATATAGACTTGATGCAGCTGAGCAGCAAATTTGGGTTAGAAACGCTGTAAAGTCAATGTTGTATATAAAATGTCATACATCACATGTTATTATATATAATCACCTATATATAATAATTATATATTATTATTTATAATTATTATATATTATCACTATACTCTTTAATATTATAACATTTTAAGAATAAAAGTAAGTATATAGACTTGATGCAGCTGAGCAGCAAATTTGGGTTAGAAACGCTGTAAAGTCAATGTTGTATATAAAATGTCATACATCACATGTTATTATATATAATCACCTATATATAATAATTATATATTATTATATATAATTATTATATATTATCACTATACTCTTTAATATTATAACATTTTAAGAATAAAAGGATGTATATAGACTTGATGCAGCTGAGCAGCAAATTTGGGTTAGAAACGCTGTAAAGTCAATGTTGTATAAAAAATGTCATACATCACATGTTATTATATATAATCACCTATAGTATATATAATAATTATATATTATTATATATAATTATTATATATAATCACTATACTCTTTAAAATTATAACAGTTTAAGAATAAAAGTATGTATATTGACTTAAAATGCAGCTGAGCAGCAAATTTGGGTTAGAATCACTGTAAAGTCAATGTTGTATAAAAAATGTCATACATCACATGTTTACAGAACTAATTAAATATTAATACCATGTTGCTACCTTAATGTCTCAATATCTGCAATGCCAATTAGTACCAGCTGTCAAAAATGATCTATTGTGTTAGTGAATATTGGTGTAATCATTAACTAACGAATACTCTTTCATTTTTATATAAATGTAATACTACACTGGTAACATTGTATTTTCATATACTAAAGCTAAATTTGATGGAAGATCTTTAAAAATAGGCACTGAGCAGGAATGGTATAAAAAAAATTATAAACTCTTTCGAACAACTCATCAATAATAGTCCATTTATGAAATCTAATCATTCTTGAGGTTACCTGGTCATATTGTGACATATCAATAATAATATAATAATGATATCAACTATAATTAGGTATAAGTATGAAGACCTAATTATTAGCTTAAAGAAACTACAACAGATAGTATGTTGGTTAAATTTATTTTAATAATGTTTTTGTTAGTTATAACATACATCAGACTGCAACAGAAACTTCAAGATTTTATACAGCAATGCAGTTTTAGAATAAAGTTTGAATATACATCAATTGTTATGATAATAAAGGTTATTCTAAGGATAAGTATTATCATATTATATTTAACATTTTTACTTACAGTCAAAAGTTATTATATTACTAGAATATATTATTAGAAAATTTTAATGAAATAACATGTCGGTAAAAAGTCAAATATTTATTAATAATTTATCTGAGTTGATATTTTATCAAGTAGAATACCTGCGTACTGCTTTGCCATCTCCTTTGATGGAAGACAATGGAATGCTGACCTGACCTATAAGGTCATCAAGCACGAGTCCTCGGTTGTAGATTATAACTTCTACGGAGCAGCCTACTTTGTAAACATGCCTGAAAAACAATAACAAAGCACACATACAGTATTGAAATACAATTCTACAATTTGGTATTTTTTCACCTTACATTTTTCTAATTGCAGAATTACAACAGGAAATATTTATGAGAAACTGTAGAGTATAATGATAATAAATGTTTGAATCAAAGGATACAGCAGTCAAACTTTTAAATTGGTGGCAATTAAATATTACACAGCACATGCACTGTAGTAATACAAGAATGCATATACAATCTAGCTCTGAAAATTATATTAAAAAAGTATAAAGGATTTATATACAAATGCAATAATACCAGTCCATTCTAATTTTACATACAATACAGACAACTACAAACTGATTTACTTTACTAAAGAAAGTACTTAAGCCTCATACCGTAAATCCTCGAATTTTAAACCCAATGGGCTTAACCCTTTTAAATCCCAAGTGATCTACCCTAGGTCACTGGGCAAATTAAGGTTTTTTTTATACAGTAGATTTAGGAAAAACTCATAATACATTTTTATGACACCGGGTGAAAGGTCATGTGCCCCAAAATTACAAGTTAGTGGCGTAAAAACTGTACTTTTTTACATAAACCCAGTGTAAATGTCACTAAAAAAATCCTATGCTAATTAATGTTACATATTATATGGAATATGTTGTTTCTACAGAAATAAAATGTGTTTGGTTGAATAAAATTATGCTTCATCTTTATTAGGAATTTTTGATGCCCAAGGTCACAAATGTCATTGAGGCCCCCCTTCCAATAGAGGGCAAGTAAGCCTAGACCTAGAACTTAAATAAGCCTATTTCTAACTAGGGTGGAGTACTGAACCTAGGATGTTTCACTAAACTAGTAAATTGATGAAATACTAATTATAATAATAGAGCAAATGGGGTATGGGTATTGAAATATGAGAGGGGGGTCTATACATGACAAATCCTGACACAAAAAATGTCTGGGCCTAGCATTACTTGTTGCACTGCTAGAAGTTTCTAGTAAATATCTCTCCTCAGAATCGTATTCAGGTTTATTTATTATGAAATCAATATTTATGTAATTGTACATTACTCAGTGACAGAAAAAAATTGCCGATTTTTCCTCCATACAATTGCTAAACTATGTCCAGTTACTATGACGTTAGGGAAATTTTTAGGTAAAAGAGTCAGTAACAGAGGGCAGCATTTCTAAAACAAGGGGAGAAATCATCCCGTACCGTTTACGGGCCTAGCATCCTGTGAGAGTAAATTATCTTGTATTGGAAACGGGTCACGACCTCAAAGGGTTAACCTCGAGAAGAAGCCCATCTAGAATTGAAGCCCCCTCTTTAGTTTGCAAAACTAGCCTCGAAAAAAGCCCATGGGATTCTTTGCAAGATAGCATAAGGCTTCTGTTCAAAATAGTAGGCCTGCAATACATACACTGTACATGAAAAAAAAAAGAAAATAAATTTGTAGTAGTTTAGGTGTGGACAGAGCTATAGGATTGCAGTTCATATTTGTAAATTTTATTTGCAAAAATCTAGTGATGGTATAGGCCACTAGAGTACTGTAGGATTAACCACCAAGTCACTGTTTCTTTGGATTAAATTATTATCATAATTATTATAATTAGGTATGAGGCTTTAAAATTCAGTTCTGAGGGAAAAAATGTATAGTACAGGATATGTCTACAATATTATTGACTAAATCATTCTGGATCCCTCATCCACACTGTAATTTTTCACTTCTAGCAACAGGAACTAAAAACATACAGTAACTCCAGGGGTACATTATACAAAATACCTTTTGCTTCTAAGGTGAACCTGATTGGGCAGATTGGAATAGAACAGGCCCAACTGAGGAAATTCTATATTCCCTGTGGGATATATAGTATATCACGGAAATAAACCAAGGTTTTTAGTGCATTGTTAATCTGCCTTACAGTATGTTAATGCTTATTTTACCTTTGATATTAAGAGTAAGATTGATTTTTACCTTAAAGTCCTTTGAAATATAATGAAATACAATATATTTTATTATTATTATTATATACAGTATAATATATAAATATAATATTAATACAAAGCAGAACAAAACAACCCAATGGTGTTTTAATGTAAAATATAGATAGTGAGTAAAATATCAATCTATATTTTTGTACCATGATTACAATATGCTGGATGTGATGCTGTTAACAATCTGTAGTGCACTATAAAAAGATAAGCTCTAAGAAAAATTTTGTCCACACCAACAAAAATGCCAAATGAAAAAAAGTTTTGTTTCTACAAAAATGAATGAAGAAATATAATTACTACATGTTACAATCACCAGTTAAGATTAAATAATAATATATATTTAGAATGATCTTATATAAGACTAGTTTTTACAATGCATTTAAATGAAACTCGGCCAACGTATTAAAATACAATTCAAAGAGTATTTAAATTAGCACTTACAACAAGCATTCCTCGTTCCATTGTGGAAAAAGTGTTTTGTCAACAACTGCCGTCTGGAATTTCTCCTTCCCTGAGCTAATGACAGCATATGAACTATTGGTATTGTCCCTTCCTTTCACAATTAAATTTCTTGCTCTATGAACTTTGCAAAGGATAAAGTTAACACAATTAGAATGGTATAATCCAGTTACAACATGCCAAAGAACAAACTGAATAAGTGTGATCTTTAAAAAGGTCATTAAGAGCATGGTAAAAATACAATTACTTGTGTTAATTTTTTTTCTCCATTATAAACTAAATTGTACTTTAAAATCAAATCAATTGAAAAGGTTCACAATGGAAAATGTTAAATTCAAACTGTTCGATTTCATCTGGGTAATCTGTTATGGTTGTTATTAATATTTGGAAGTAAAGAGAGATCATAATATGGAGCATGGCTGTACAATTGGACCACTCAAAAATCAATTAGATACACAAATATCAATCACATCATAATAACCAACAAACAAGAACTTAATTTACACAAAAGACTGTAAGTTAACATTATGACAGGATTGCCCAATATGAAAGTAACAGGTACCTTAGCTTAGCTTGTCTTGTACACATTAATTTATTCATGATCTAAATATTGATCATCAATCTATTGAGCACATTGTCACTACAGTGGGACTGAAGCCACAGTTTAATTTAGTCAAGAGTTGTTTCTGTAGTGTGATTGGAGAACTAACAGTATTCAAAACCACAACATTCCTCTCTGCCCATGTTATTGTTCTTACTGGGCTTTTGTGTCCCATTATACATTTCACCAATTGTTGTATACAAACTGAGTCATAATAATTTTCTGTAATGTGAATAGTGGCTTATATTTTGATATGTACTGTATGAGTTTGTTTGCTTAGGTTTGTATAATGTTCACACTTTGGACTTTGGTGATTGTTCAATTATATTGACAGCTGCAAAACAAAATTAATGAATTTAAAACATCCTGGCCCAATCTAATGATGTAAGTAAAATTTTTCCTAAGACAAACTGTACAATGATAAATGCAGTGGATAGGGATACGGTATCATATCTTATATTCCGTTTGCTAAAGGTATGGTAAACCGCATCATCCTGTAAAATACCGCCCCGGTGTGACGTCATTGTTCATGAAGACTTGTGAAGTCACTCGCTGAATGCAGAGAAAGGTGGTGAAGTAACATTTTAAGTACAGTAGTTTGTCTTGAATATGTAAGCTGTAAGCCAACTCCATATCCCGTGTTCAACAAACAATATAAGCATACAATATTTAAGGGGCCTACCCATATTATAAATATATAAAATACCGCCACTGGTGTGAAGTCTTTGTTAAGACTTGTGAAATCACTCACTATTTCTGAACTAAGTTTTTTTCGCAGTTGTTTTCAAATGTACTGAGTATTCGGTACATTTCCACGTCAGGTAGGGCAAAATTACACCTATACATGTTTCTCCTGACGCAAATCCAGTTATTGTCTATTATTCCATCACGACAATAACAATTACTATCTACAGTAACAGTTAACAGAAAAACTGCGGTTTGACGTCCGTAAATACGTATTTAACTATAATTTTACCATTCTTATTAAACGTAATTAAATTTACTACAGTAATAATTTGTAAGTATTTCAATCATTAAATAGGCTTTTGAATTAATGTGATAATGAGCTGGAAATAAGTCTTGTATTCTTTTCACTGTACTCACGTCACAAACACAACATAAGAGGGAGATATTTATTCCATGCTCTGCAGCCACACTTTGTAGGAACATGCTGCACAATGCACATCGTGGTATTTCATTCAAATTAACTGCCAATGTTGTTTTTGTTAGTGATGACATGGGAAAATGTGTTTGAATAAAGTTACTTTAATAAGTTACTTTATTCGTAACTAAAAATACATGCATAACCATTGTTTACTTCTTACTTATTGAGCTGCATACTACTATTGTAGTAAATTAAATTACAATAATAAAAACGTAAATATATCACTTCCAGAAAATAATCACATGATAAACAGTAGGCCTAGGCTAGGCCTTAAATTAATAAAATACTGTAGGCCCTAGGCCTAGCTTCTTCTAGCTAGCCTAGGCCTAGTATCTAACTTACCAATAATTTTACAGGTTTGCAGAGCAAGGTTTGCTTCAGACATTGCTTTGGCACTGACTGAGAACCGGCTAATGCCAGAGAAAATTCAAATCCGTTGGTTAATCAGATACCAAAACAAACCTTATTCATTCATTAGGCCTAGGCCCAGTTGATGAGTCACACTTCACTATCTATAGCGATAAGAGGCGGAAGGACCAACGCCGATAGGAACATCGATAAAAACCCGGCTGCCGTCTCAACTTTCACTGGCCTTTGGCTGAATGTTTGTAAGAAATGTACCAACCGGTAACGAAACCGGTCGCCGTCTACCTAGAGTAAATGGTATTAATTATGCGATGAGGGTTTTTTTAAAATGTTTTTCGGTGTGATTTACCGTAAACATGCCAATTCTCAGAAAATATTTTCCAATTATATTATATTACAACCTTTTTATTACATATATATCTTTTTCAAAACATAACTGCTTTTATAACATTATATAGACCCATTAAACACAAAAAACTGCCCCGACCCCACCGTGGCCCTTAGGCATGGCCCCTGGATCCCACGCCCAGAGAACCCCCTTGAAATGACCTGGCTACGGGTCTGGGGCCCATGAGACGATTGAGGCCTGCCATAAGTCGGACCAGGAGGCCTCTTCAGTAGGCCTATAGAGAACTAGCGCGTCCATTAAGTGACCCACAGTTGTGCAGAATAAGACCTTGGCCTGCACCAATAATACAACCACTTTGCTCTCGTAGGGGTAGATGTATATTTTATGTTGTGTATGTCTTTCATACATTACACATTATTTTTACATTGATAATGTACATTATTTTAATGATTGTTGGTTTGTTGATAGAGTACGGTAATATTTGTATTCTGAAAAGTATGCAAACTATGTATTTATATTACTAAAATACTACTGTATAATAATTCAATTTTGTATTGAAAGTATTCTAAAAGCCTTAAAGGGACACCTTCAGGAGCAGAAAAATGTTCCCCTTAATTGAAGGTTGTATGTATACTGCATATTATGTAGTCAAGAATCCTTCCTGTACATTTTTTTAATTCCTTGCCAAACTAACCATTTTTCTTCATTTTTTGTATACTTGACCTCTCACCCTCTCTTCACGTCGAACTCTCATCAAACAAGTACTTATTATAGTAGAGTCCAGATTGAAGATAATTTTTATTGTCTGAAATTGCATTCTGTCAGCGTTGCAAGTGTTAATTATACAGTAATAAATAAACGGTAACAAGGATATAAAACTAAAATTTAAATTTAATTCATGAGATAAACAATATTTCACATAAAACTTAATTAAACGAGGTCAAAATTGCACTTAAAACCAGAATTATCTGTTAACATTATCATTATGAAGGTGAATGGAGTTGGGAACGACATCGTCTGGTGAGTGGTACATAAGACGGAAGCCTATAGTGTTAAATATACTGTAAATTCACTGTAGTGGGTGGATGAGTTTGTGTCTTTCATTATCGCCTGGAGTTTAGCTAATGTGTATTTGTCATATTATTATCTAAATGTACAATATCTTTATTAATATTTTCTTTGCAGTCTTTCGGATCTAGTCCGATTTCTTCATTGTTTGTTAGGCATTTATATGTACAAACAGTAAGGTAAAACACTGTTTTATTGCTTTATAAAACAAGATAAGAATGGTATTGTCAACACTAAGCTTCTTAAGTTTTCTTAGAAAATACAACTTTGCTTAGTTTCCTTTTGTAAGTAATCTTGGTTTGTTTACCCCCATTATAAGCTTATTATCAACAACAGTACCTGGTATATATCATAAGCACAATTTGCTTTGCAAAAACCAGATCATTTCTTTAGTTGTTAGCGTTCAATATAAGATGATTAAGCTGGCACCATTCATTAAATATTTTAACTTCATCAAAATAATATAGTTTCATCGTTATCAATAAATCCACTAATTACAGTATTATCTGCGTATTTTATAATTTTGCAGTGAGGATCCAAGATCTTAAAATTACTTGAATATAAAATTAACAGGTACGGAGACAAAACACATCCTTACGGAACACCAATACTTATGCTACTAATTGTTGACGATATATTATTTCATTTAACTCGCTGTGGTCAAGAAATTAAATACATAACAAAATTCGAGGAACGAAATCAAGCTCAAAGTAGTCTTTTTAGCAATATGTGTGGAACAATAGTGTTTAAAGCAGCACATGAAAAATCTATAAAAACTGACCTTACAAAAGCTCTTGGTTTTGCAGATGTTTATACACATTATTTAGAAATACAAAATGCATCAGTTCCTCTGTTATTACAGTATGCAAATTAATTATTATAGGCATTATTCTTGTGGATCCCAGTGGCCGTGCCGCTTTGTTATTTCTTGGCTAATTTTTGATCTTCAAACATAAATGTTTTAAAAACATTTTATTATGTCGGAAGTATTCAAGTTTTAAAATCCATCGTTTAATATATGCTCATAATGCCAGTGCCAAAAAAAATATACGGTATACAATTAAGCATAATATCGGCCTTACTAATAATGTATTTGCATCAACATCACAATTATTATTAACTGAATATATAGCAAATGATAACAGTTAATTTATCACAAGAAATTATTTCAGCACATGTCATTGCAATTGTTATACTTTTAAATTTATAATTCTGTGTCTTTATTTTTTAAGTTGTAACTTTTATTGATCAATAGTATTTTTATAACACAATACAGTAAAGAAATGATAGGACACATTGAACTGATGTTAATGTAGGAGGTTAATGTATTGGCCATTCCTCTCTCATATAGGCAGGTAATCTACTTTTTTTAACCTAGCTAACCTAACTCTACATCTTAAACTACGACCTATCTATCAAGCTAACCTGACTAACTACAACTATCTAATAGGCTGAATTAAGATAGATATGAGAGAGGGTGGACTAGGTTAGGGCGAAATGAAATGATGAAAGTGATACAAAACCGTAATGTACGAAACAAACATCAACTACATGTAGGATGACAAATATACAAAACAACAAGAAGAAAGTAACTGTATTGATGAATACTGTATTTGTAATTATTATTATTTTAAAAATGTAGGCTTTTATTTTTTTATATTATTTTTTTTATATTATTTTTTTATATTATTGTTATTATTTTTATATTATTATTATTAAATTGAATTATATAGCATATGTTTAATATTACCAACTGCAATGACAAATAGTCTTCCCCATAATATCTAATTGTAGGTTCTATGTTCTTTAACATTTGCAAAATTACTCGGCATCTCTAAATTAAATCGATCAGATTGGCTCATTCCATCTGAACGGATGTTATTCTGCTGACAAAATTTGCTTCCTGGGTCAGTGTTGGTATTAGCTTGATCACAGCTCCGAATTTCTGCGAAAATATAGTAACATATTCAGATCGTTATTTGGAAAAGAATGATTTATGTTCATTAGGATGAAAAACACCCATGTAGATCTAATAACCCAATTTTTAGTAGTATAATTTCAAGAAAGCAACATTGAAACCAACCTTTAGTAGAATCGACATTTAATCCACCAATGTCCACCAGTAGATTCCTTTTAAGTCGATCGCATACAGTTTCAGTATGGTGAAGTCGGCGACAGTTCACAAGAATTCAAGGCCTTGCATATCAACCACTTCTGTGTTTACAAATTATGTACTGCGTAAACCTGATGAAAACAATTTACATTTGCATAAAGGGTGCCTGCTCCGCCTCCCACACCCTCAAGACAAACAAACAAATCCTAGTGAAGTTTGAAATCATTTGGACTGACAAGGCTCCTGGACCCCAGAATTGGTAATAGTTTTCAACAAACTCACTCGCCCCTTTTAACTCTGGTAAAATGTAATGCCATGGTTCTCAGTTACCGACAGAATTTCATACACAATAGTCACATTAAATGCGTGAGCCAATAGTGTATCCATAGGTTGATTTCACATTATTTTACAAGCCCCAGGCATTCAAACTTACCTTTGCAAGCTGGTCTACCATTTCATCGTCACCAAGATCATTATGTCGCCATCAATATAAGATCATATTCGTTATGATTATCATCGTCCTCGATATTCACCATCAAAAGAAACGCGTTGAACAATTTAGTCTGAAAATCGCATTCATTACTATTATTATTTCTTTTCTGAAATGAAAACAATTATATGTTGTAAAATTTATAGGCCTGTGCATAGCCCAATAGCCCTATTGTCATTTCACAATTCAAACAAGCTCAACTTTCACGCATTCAAACATCATCTGACAAATTATATTTGCAAGTTCAGTTACACCATTTCGTTATCGGTTAATCGTCATCGCTGTCCTTTTAATCATCACCATCATCTGTCATTTTATTATGTTGTAATTAATAGTAAAGTTTCTTAACTCAAATCACAACTCACAAATTTGGATTCAAGATAGGAGGATAAGCAAAAGTAATCAAGTAGGCCTATCGTAAAATTATCATCGTCGTTATTGTTTAACATCATCTTTATCAGCAACAACTTTCTCGTTATCATCATGAATTATATCATCGTATTCGTTCAATATTCCTTTCATGTCGATATGAAAAGGGTCTACATAGTAGATATTGCTAACACCATCATCATCACAATCATCATCACCATCAACATCCTGCTAATTTTGTTTTCAATTGAAGTCAATAAATTATCCATTGGCAGAAGAACCACCAGACAATCATATCCACAAGCATCATTATCAAAATCACCAGGTTTCTTTCTGAAATAAAACAATATCAAATGTTATAAAATATTTATTTAATGGGCATCCTAAGGAGTAGTCAAACACATGGAATATACTTATTTATTTTGTACACACGCATACAGGTGACAATTCATAAAGGTACAAACAAGATACCCAGGAAAAAATCATGAGAATGATAAATAATGAAAACAAAACCGGTGATACAAAGACTATGAAAATGGCAAAAATAAAATTAACAGAATTTCCTAAGCTTTGTCTGCAGTATCAAATTATTTGACAAAAATGTGGGTATGATGACGTCATATTATCACATATTAAATTGTTTTAAAAAGTTGAACGTCACATTTTATGTGACGCTTATTTGATGAAATATAACAATAAACTATGTCCAAGCTATCAAGTGCGGAAAAATATACTTGTGATTTGTCCATACACAGGTAGGTATCTGTTGCATTGATAACTGCGGACTGAGCTTTCAAACAAAATTAATATTTCTAAAATGGAAGGACGGATCTAATAAACCAATTGGTTGGAACTATACAAATATTATCACAGCAATAGACATTACTATACACTTTGTTCAATTGCATTGTTTATCACACAATAAGTTGCAGCCTGGAGGCATGTCTAGGGTATTCAAATGGCTGGGGGCAGGAGAACCGAAGGTGATGTGGAAGGACTCGATGATAAATATGTAGCGATAGCTGTTGGTTAACTATTTTAGGGCAATTTTTGATACGCCGCTGTTGCAGCTCCACATGTCATTTGGAACAGAATGCATAATCAAATGGACAATTTAAAAAAAGCCACTGAAACTCACCTTAGCATCATCAACGTTGGTTATTAATATCATAGCCGTCCATTACCATACCATCATTATTAACCATCGACGTCCACATATTTCCTTGTTTTTAAATCGATCACAATACATTCCAGTCAGGTCGGAGGACAGTCCACAAGCATTTAATGCCTTGCGATATCGACTACTAAGTAAATAATTAATAACTCATGTTAACATGAATCATGTTTTATAGCAAATAAATTCAATTCAATATGTTAAACACACTAGCGAAAAAGGATGTTCAGCCCGCCTGTAATCAGTTTCTAAATTGAAATTTAGATTAATATGGCCCTGGACCCACAGAATTTGTAAGGGAACATTCTCCTCTGACAATAGGTTTTAATACAATACAATAAAACACAGCTATGAGATATGGTTCCTTAAATACACCCATATTACTAGAAAAATATAGAAAATATAATTAAAAAACACATGTTGCACAAAGAGAAATTGCTTAAATTTAAAAAATACAAGATGCTAAAAGTTTATAACTAATATTGCAGGGATTACTGAGTTGTGATGGAAATGGTCTTCAATCGCCACTCCTGCTCCCACACCGGCCAAAATATCCTGGATACGCTAATGTAAACATGACAGAATTTCAACTAAATAGCAATCACAGCAAGTAAGCTAACCATCCATGCATTACTATAGGTTAATTTCATATTATTTCACAAGTCCCAATGCATTGAAACTTACCTAATTTTCAAGCACAGGTCTACCATTTTATCATCATCATTGTTATCACTGTATCATCTATATCACCATCATTACATCATCCTCGTTATCTTCATGAGCACTTATGTCTATCAGTTCTCCATCATCATCAGAAGAGGCACTACTCCAAATAGCAAATTGATTTGATTAATTCGGAAATTCACATGCATTATATATATATATATATATATATATATATATATATATATTTTCTTTTCCTAAAATGAAAACACAATATAATGTATAGATATGGCCTGTGATTATAGCCCTAGTTTCACATCACGTCATTTCACAACCCCACAAAGTCGCCTTGGAAACTTTCAGACATTCAAACTAATATTATCTCACAACTTACCTTTGCAAGTTTTAATACATTATTTCATTATCGTTAATCGTCATCACTGTCATTCATCGCCATCATTTGTCATAGTATATTGTAATAACAAAGTCATCTTAACTCGCAACTCACAGAAACTCAAATGAACTAACTACAACTTTAAAATCTGTATTTATCGTCACTATTAAATATTCATTGCTACCGTCATCATCACAATCATCATTAATATTTTTTTCCTCATTCCACGTCGACAATTAGTCATCGGCAGAAGTACCACCATCCAATCAGTATATTAGCATATTTCCTCAAGCATCATTATCAAAATCACCAGATTTTTTTTTTCTGAAATGAAATGAACTTCGAAGTTATAATATAAGTATTGAACGTATATATTTATTTATTCCGCACACGTGCATAGGCGACAAAGACCTGTGATACACAAGGTATTCGTCGACTTGCTACTGTCTGTGGACAACAAAATTAATATTTCTGAAATGAAAGACATGCTATTAGTTATTATACATCTTAGATTTACATACACTGAAATTTAACAATAGTAAATGAATGCCATTTACTATTGTTTTACATTTACAAAATTACAATTCATAACAGACTCAGACAAAAACACTTAAACGCATGTTCATTAGTAATGTACCAATTTATTGAAACAAATTCATAGGGATACAATGTTTGGTATAGGGGCTTACCATCATGATGTGATTAAAAAAATAGAAAGACAAAAAGAGACAAAGACACATTTGTTTGTAAAGATTTATTGCAACAATTTCATAGGTATACAATTGAAGACGCATTGAGGCAGCACCTGCTACCATTATCAAATACTGACCTAACCCACTATCGGCAAGAATAAAAAAATAAATAAAAATACTACGATTTTATATAAAGTGGTTTACAAGATGGGCATTGTCTACGATATAGTACGATTGTTTTTTCTACACAAACAATCCTATAGTGGTTAGTTGACTTACTTGGTTTGATGCTTGGATGCTCGAGGCGATGTCTTGCTGCATTAGTAACTTACCTGTGGCCCCGTCACATTTGCATATAATCAACATAATTAAACAACAACTGTTTTATATCGGCCTAAGTGTTAGTTCAATTTTTTCATAATACATACATTCACAAATAGTCTAATCGATGCTGTTAAATATGATAAATTGATGTTGTCAAAATTTTGCTGGATATATTATCTAATGTTGTCAGATTATCAGCATCTAGTGTGAGTGGCCTAGCATGGAGATTTGAATGCCTACTGAAGTTTAGCCATGGAATCCATGGTTCACATATATTAGGCCTATCGTCGCAATTCTGTATGATACGATAATAATTAAACCTTGTTTCCAATATGCAATCTAGTTTCCTATAAAGTATTAACATTGCATAGTATCAACAAGATCTCCACCATAATTATTATTAGCTTCGTTGCCCTGAAAAAGTAAAGCCTAATGTCTACACCTGTGTGTTAGTAGAAATGGATGCAACATCACATTTTAACCAAAAAGGTACTATATAGGTCTCTTCTTGGTTTCAATACATGTTAGTTCTTACTATGGTTGATGCTTGGATGCTCGAAGACGCGATGGCGTTCATCAAATCAGCCCGTCAAGGAGGATAAAGGTGCAAACGTCGAAAAGCTCCAGTTGCCAAATATAAAATTTCATTAGTTTTTGTATTTGAAATTTGACTAGTGGCGTCTACGAAAATTAAGTGATTCATAACGTGATAACAATAAATAAATATAATAAAATAATATAATAAATATAAAATCTAACATTACGACAGTATAATTAAATATTTTAAATAAAATAACAGTAATAAAATAAAACCTACGAAATAATTATGTGCTGATTATGTGCATGTTAATAGAATAAGGTAAATGCAAGTTGTTGTATTCGACTAAAATGAAATGAAAATGAAATGCAATGAAATGAAATATGATATGGGACGATTAAATATAGATGCCAAAAGTCAAATAACGTTTAATCAATTCCAAAAAAGGCCTAACAATTCTTTGCAGTGTTGGCGCAGAAACTGACTGAATGGCGCCAAAAAATTTTGTTTTGTATCCATGGACGTCAGTATTATGACATCCACTTGTAAGACCTGCAATACAACATTGACATTAGTGCACTAGTTACATTAGTTAACTTTGAAAAAATGATAAATAGGTACAGTGTGGTAGTGAAGTAATGTATTATATAAGCATACCTTTTCCCAATCCCATTAGATCTATCGAAAATATGTAAGCTAAATACAGTCACTTAGATCTATTTGAATCACAATGACAACGTCGAAGGTGCAAAATCATTAAGTACGTACTAAGTCACGGCATGCTAGTAGAACCTGTATGTGTCTCGTTTTAGAAAATGCTATGATAGAAAAGAAAATCTGTGTCTCTTTTCAGAAAATGCTATGATAGAACAAATTAAATCTGTGTCTCGTTTCAGAAAATGCTATGATATAGCAAAGTAAATTCTTAAACGTGTCGCTATAATGCTTTAATTCAGCCATTTTTAAAGCTAGGCCTGAGGTAGTAACAACTTTTCAATTCAAGACATTATTAATTAACCGGTCGTGTAAACTTCATCAGAATAACTTATAGTAATAGGCCTACATTATATATATATTAACAATAGCCTACAGGCCTATTAAATGTATACTCTGGTACTCACCCGCTGTGTCTCTCTCAGTTTACACCCTCCTCCGCTGCTCACACTAGGAGAATAATGAAACGGACCCAGAGGTAACGGAACTCTCTAACCGGTATATTCAAAATAAGAGGGCTTAATTCTGATTGGATGTTATTGTATGCATGGTTGGATTAAAACAATAACATCCAATCAAAATTAGAAATTTGTTGACAGATGATGTAACTGTTAAAATAACAAAAGCCACTGCCTAATCTAAAGCACCTGTTTGGTACCGGTACTACTCTAGTATCATTAATTTGCGAATTCTTTCTTGCCGATACTTTTAATCTGATTGATACCGTTTTAGTGTAGTATATGCGAACTTAATTTGTTTATGTAAATGTTGAGTATATTAAGCCTATGTATATTTTATCAGGGAGTTGTTTATTAATGTAAAGACAGAAGATATGAAATAAATATGATAGGCTATTGATGTAACAATAATACAGATCCGGATGGGCCTGCCCACAAGGCAAGATCCATAATTTTGGTTGCTTCTAGCAATTCGCAGCAGTCTGTCTAGCAGTTGCGGCGTAAGCCCCCACCCCCATCGGACATGTCAAGGGGCCCCCCGGCCGAGCTCGTCGGGCAGTCGGACCAAAAAAATAAATTAAATATAGGCCTACACCAAGCCAAACTAGGCCTATGTCATTCACACTGCTTAAGTGCCATTTCCGGCCATCCAGAGCTCCCTATTTTTAGCAAAATCTCACCTCCCAAACCCTTCCCCTCCTCAGGCATACAAGCTTAACCCCCTGTCGGACAGCTCAGCCCAGAGCAGCCACTGTCTAGGCCTTTAGGCCTATGCAGAATGTGGCCATAAGCTACTAAAGAATCAGCATTAATAGACCTATAGGCTTAATTGTTATTTATTACATTAATTTTATACAATAAAAATTGCAATACAGACATTGGAAAGTTAATATGTTTAATTTAATTAAATATTTAACATTCAGTTCCCCTTCTCTTGTGTATTATAGCCCATTTTCACTTCCAGTAAGATAATTTGTTCATGGGATTAGGTTGGAAAATCCACAGACTAAGCACACAGTGCCAGCTCTAGGATATAATTTATGGGGGTGGGGGGCTAAGATGTCCGACTGGGGGAGGGGGCTAAGTATTTATTGTTCGTCTACTTGACTGTTTGAATGGTGCATTATAAAGAAATAGGAAATAAAACGATTGATGGAGCTTTTTATAGACTTCGATCAATATAAAAAATGCCAACAAAAAATTATATATCAAATGAAAATGAACGGACGGACAATTGGCGCCCGAATAGGCGCCTTTGTGTGAAACAAGGGTTGATTTGTGGCAAAGACACGTCAAACCAGTCACTCGTTGCAAAATTCGATTTTGAGTTATTAATACAGGGTTAAAGAGTAAAATAAGAGCTATAAAATGGTTTTTAAAAAAGTCATTCAAATCCGACATTTTCTTATGAAGTTACAAGCGTTTAAACATGCAGCTTTTTAAAGACCAATATATAAGAAACCAGCCTTCAAAGTTCATGTTTTGGGCATTTTCCATGCAGAAACTATCATCAAATTCTTAAAAAGTGTTGTTTTAAAATTGAAAATGGGGAAAATAACAGAATAGCATGATGTAGGCCTATAAGGTTAGTTTAGTGCAATAAATTTTTAAAAATTTGACATTCAAGCATGTTTTGGCCATTTTCTCTGAAACATGATTTGCGACGAGTGACTGGTTTGGCTAGTCTTTGCCACATTTATGTTTTGATAATCGGTAGCAGAGTATATTTAAAGCCAGGCTCTGGAGAGAAAAAAATTGATGTGTTTTAGAAATGATTTTTCTAAATGTTTGCCGAACGAGGGAACGGTTAATGAGATACAGAATTTTGATGATGAATGTTTAAAAACTGGAAAGTTTTCCCTCTGGAGCCTGGCTTTAAATGATATCTCAGTTACTTGTTTTAGTTGGGACATTATCCACACCTCTGATTGACACCTAAGCGAAAATGTTTGGTTGACACGGGCCCCCAGCATTTCTCGTCCTGAGACCCCGTGACTCGCATATTGAATTTAATGATTAAGCCTAATACCGGTACAGAATTTTACATTTTACTCATAACTACGTTTTTACATTAGGCCCTAAACCTTTTGTTTCTGTCGCTATATTATTATATCTCATTATATTTCAAATATTGGTCATCCTTTAAGGTAAAAATCAAGCTTACACTATAAAGTGTAATTTATTCATTGCATCAACGTAGGACTACTGTGCAACGGAGTAATTTCACAGAGAGTTCCTGCATTCACTAATGTTGTTTTTTTATAAAGAGAATGATGCTTAATATGCCTATATGATCTTGCAGTCACATGTTTCTCATGAATGATCTTCTTAGTATTCAGGTTTTTCAAGGGAAGTCAATCTACAGTTGTTTTATGCCGAGATATTGCAGTCGAGTAAAAATAATCTTATTGTTCACTGTTCACGAGTATAATAATCATGTATGTTCACTGCTATTAACTGACTCAATGTGTCTCACTCTACAAGTGGAGATCTGCTCTTTGTGTTCATTTTCTTTTCTCATATTTTAATGTTTTGTCTGTACTGTTTTATGAATTCGATTTTCTAAATAAAGTTATTAAATTATCAAATGTGAAATAAGCATTAGCACAGGGCTGATTAACAATGCATTACTGGTTTATTTCCTTGATATACTATATCCCACAGGAAATATAGAATTCCTTCATTTGTACCTTCCTGTTCCTATCTGTCCATTCGGACTCACCAAACCAACCAAAGGGTATTTTGTATATTGTATTACCACTGGGGTTATATATTTTTAGTTCCTTCTGCTAGAGGTGGAAGCCTGTTTACAGTGTGGATGAAAGACTGCTAGAAATGAAAAATTCTTTTCCATTTCTGGAAAGTGCTAACATCTCTGGTGGAAATTCCCACGTGACCTGTAAAATGTCTACCCTTGTCAAGTTGGTATGTTGGGTTTTTTGTACAGTAGCATCCAAGAGAAGACTTGAACAGGATTTTTTTCTCACGAAAAGCTCCACTGCCTAATTCCGGGCACTCACTGCGTCGTACGACGAATCCAACTCCGCTGCCTGTGAGCGATATATGAAGCATCGCCGTCTGCTGATTGTCGGTGGCAGTCTGAACGGATCGTCATTAAAAACGATCCGTTGCGCGCGCGTCGTAGCGTTGCGTTCTTCCAGAATCGCGTCTGCCAACGACCGTCGTGCGCAGTAAGTGCCCGGCTTAAGTCTCATGATGAGACTGTTTATTGGTTTATGTAGAGCAGCGTGTGAATGGGCGTATTCGACTGGTTCATTTCGTTGACTACGAATTTTCGTTGTGTATTATTTTCGTAATTCGTAATACGACTGATTCGTAAAATTGACTTCGATGACAACGAAAATTACGTAAACCAGAGTGCGTTAATCAGCGTTAAGTTATCCACGTGACCAACCAACATGGCCGATTGGTCAGTTTAGCAACAACAGTTGCGTAAATATAATTTAGGTTAAATTTCAGAAAATAAAAATTATAATAGGTCTATTTACCCACATGAATTAAACAACTGGATGAATTTTTTTTTACGAAAACCAATACGAAGCAACCTTGATTACGCAGCGTGTATCGCGTAACTATGTAGCCATTTTGTTTTGTCGAGTATTTACGAGTATTTACCAGTTTTCGTTGAGTAGAATTTTACTCTTGTTCAGGTGGGCGTGGTTTAACAAAGAACGACCAGTTGAACGGCTTTTGAAGGGACATGACACTCAAAAGGGATTATGTTTGCAGTTCGACATATCTTTGGACCTCTGACCTAAAATAATTAAACAAATCATTAAAGGCCTACCGTTACTAACTGTATAATGGTTGGGTTACTTCCTATCAGTTTATCATCATGTTTTAATTAGTGCCAACTATTCATAAAACGATAGCTATTAATTACTTACTAATTATAACTCGTTTCAATAGCAAACCTCAATATAAGCTCATTAACTTCGACAAATACATCTACAAAAATTGAAGGTTTCCAAGCCTCAATTAGTATTTTGTCGTGAGAACCATGTTAGAATAACGGTTTGAGTATCAGCCATGATAAATTATTAGATGAGAAAATGAATATCGATAAACGACTTGAAGTTTATTAAATCAAACAACAACATTTCCGTATTAAATTTCAATTTCTTTCAACGCATCATTTTTGCTTGACTTGACGTGTTAAGTGTTAATAATACTTCTATTGTTTGTTGGGTTTTGTGGAACATTTATATAAGATGATGTTCATTTCAAAATAGTTACCCAAAGGCTCGATCACGGGTAGCTACTTATCTTTGTTTTATTTTGAAAAACATTGAAGTGGTGTTTTACGAACTCGAATCGCGATGTACTGGCTCTCGCTTTTCAGTATTATAGCACTTGGGATCACGACTAACGGGGCACCATATCAGATTAAGGTAATGTTATTATTAGTCCTGTTAAAATTATAAGAAATAGAATGCGTTTGATAAAGCTATGGTCTGGGTTTTATATTACATTCTTTCCATTTTTTTTTCTTAAATAAAGTGCAATGATTTTCAATGACGTACCGGTAATTTACCATTACCAAATTTTATTAAGATCAAAATTATTTTTATATAAATATGCAATTTGTTGTTCTTTTTATAGTTATTGAATTTGCTTAATGATGGTGGTGTACGATCTCTTTTTGAAGTGGACTCAATGATCGAGGGTAAGTTGTTAAAGCGATCGTAACTTCGCTTGTATTTTGGGGTTTTTTTCGTATTTTATATGTGAGTAAATATAAGAACACACACATTCTTAATCTACTATTTTCATTTCTGTTTATATAGTTCCTGAATTTGAAATTACTTCACCAGCCCAAGTGTCGAGTAACAGAGCCACGCGTTCGCTCCCTTTACACCGCTACCAAAGACGCTTTACGCGCTCTCCTGAGTTGCGAGATATTGATCCGTACCCACAAACCACCGAACTTACTTTTAACGCGTTTGGCATTAACTTCCATTTGAACTTGACGAAGAGTTCGTTTATAGCACCGGACATGGTGTTGCAAAGAGGACCGGGTGGCCGTGTGATTAATCCAGTAGATTCCTGCTATTACCAAGGCAATATCATTGGATATGAAAAACAGAACATTGTAACTGTCAGTACGTGTAATGGTTTGGTAAGTAACCAAGTATTTCACCTTCAATGCGAGAGGAATTGGGTGATTTTGTCCATATTTTGGAAATTACCACCAAGACAATTTAAAATGGCACGCTCAAATATATGGATGGCTTGGAACAGATCTTGGGAACTCTTGAAGCAAGTTTGGATATCTTGGTCTCTGAAAAGAGATATCTTAATAGCATTCATTGCTTATTTATTAGTCTTAATCATTAATCGTGTCTTAATTGGATGTCAGTATTGTTATTAATAAGTAAATTATTTTTTCTATTCACTACTCCTCACGTTAGCTGAAGTAACGACGTCTTTATCCCGGCATAAACGCGGCATCAGGAACCTTGATGCGATCACAACCCAGACTATTGAGCTGGTAGTGATGGTTGACTCAACAGTTTACGAATATTTCGATTCAAGTGATACTTTGGTTCAGGATTTCGTCTTAAGCTTCGTGAATGCGGTAAGAAACCATAGTTAAAGTAATTATATTGACCTCATTTAAAAAAAAAAATTAAGGCCAACTTAATAATGGAATCGTATGTAATTAATAAAGATGAGCTGTGTTTGATATGGAAAATAAAGCAGTGAGCATGTCGTACTTTAAACAATAGTTTATGGGCAAGATAGCTTTCTTCAGGTGAGAGAACTTTTCACTGGAATAAACGCACTACGCGTGGTCCAAAATTAGCGTTTGTCAAGATAACATAAGTACTACAATTTAAGTATAGTATTTTATATTCATTATTACAGTATAGTATTAATATTTTGCACAAGAACTGCTAGCAACATATGTGTTAATATAAAATATTGTTGGGGAGGGGGTGGGCTAGACTTCTTCGACCCGGGGAGGGGTAAGGGGTGAAAACTCTTGTGCAGAGCTTGTGTTAATATGTATAATTGTAATAATAGGCCTATGTAATATTTTTATCGGTGTTATATTAAATAGCTTGTATAGTAATTACCTAAGAAGGGTTAAACTAATGATCAAACTCAGAATGATTTAATCTAGTTTCTATTTACAATAAATTAATCATATTTTGTTATATTACAGTTGGACCTGCTGCTGCGGAATCCTGGTCTCGGCGCCTATGACCTTAATTTGAAACTGCTCGGCATTCATTTCTTTCACGATTCCGGAGAACTTGAGGATCCAGTAAGCGTACATTTATTATTAAAATAATTTTACATGTAAAACAAGTAGGCCTATTGCAAGTAACTCAATTTAGTACGTTCCCATCCAATGTCAACGTATCTCCATCAGAAATGTACTTAAAAAGTTGGTTGGTTAATGCAGTGTATGTTCCTTTTCCATTCATGTTGGCCTATGTTTCAAACCAAGAAGCCGCTAGAATTGACCCCTTTTCTTGCCTATTTTGCACCATGCAAGTATAATAATAATAATAATAATAATAATAATAATAATAATTTTAATAATAATAATAATATTAATAATAATAATAATGATGATGATGATAATAATAATAATAATAATAATAATAATAATAATAATAATTATAATAATAATAATAATAATAATAATAATAATAATAATAATAATAATAATAATAATAATAATAATAATAATAATAATATCTTCATTGGAATTAAGATACTGTGAAACATTGTCTCTTTCTGTAATGACTGTACATGAGGAGTCTATTAAAACATTGTTTTGTGGTTTGTAAAACCATAACGTCAATTTCCTACGTTTCCTTAACGTTTACAACTTACGCGATGTTAAGATAATTGTGTTTGTGTTTACTGTCATACGCCTGCACAATTTTTATTGGTGCTTGAGCTCGCTTAATTTCAAATCAACCCTGGATCAGTCGCTGGCATCATAAGAGCCAGTCAAATAAATGTCTTTCTTATTTATTGCCTATTACACCTTTTTATTCAGCTTGTTATTTTTCTTAATAACCCCGTCTCTATTGTTTAATGCAATGAAATAGGAAGAAGTGACCAGTCAAACGAACCAATGTGATAGCGGTGAAGGATGTATTGGTGAGCTCAGCCTCATGAAGGATCTATGGGAACGAGTAAATGAGGGCTATCAAGCGGACCATGGAATATACCTTACCAAGTAGGTCATTTTGGATACCGACTATAATGTTATTGTTGCTTGACATGTGTTAGTGATGTTGTATTCTCTTCATTAACAGAATATATATATATTAATTATATACTGTATATATAAATTATATATACAGTATATATAGTATTTATATATATGGAATTAATGTATGGTGTATAAATCCTTATTTTTCTCAGACGCAAGCTATGTTTTGCTGATATGACAGGCTGCCAGCAGTCTGGATATGCTCCACTGGGTGGAATGTGCGGAGGAAGATCATCACTTAGCGTTGCCAGGGCTGATGGTCTTCAAGCAACTAGTGAAGAGGCACATGAATTAGGGCACAAGTAAATATAACATTTAATAATGTATTCAATTACAAAATCCTATTCAAAACACAGAAGACTAACTGTATGCATGTGTACCTTTATGTTCAAATCTACAGGGGAAAAGAAAAAAAAATAATAATAAAAATAAAAATAAAAATAAAAACACTGAGGATAATCTTGTTAAACTGGCGGTCTGGAAACAAGCACAGAGACTGTCCTGGTTGTATTATTGTCGGACTTTGATCATGATAAAATAAAATATTTCCGAAGTTAGGAGGGACGCTATATAATGCAGGAGTAAAACAACAGTGCCACGACGTACGGAGTTCACACTATTATCCTGAGAATACAAAATATTTAATTATTTGAAACTTGCTCAATTGCAAAGTACGAGGGAGAAAGTGGTATCTTTATTATTAAGAAAAACTTAAAAATACAATATGCAGTCTTGTGCGTGTTTTGTTTTGTTTTGTTTTATTGTTTTTTTTTTACATTTTTTAAATTTTTTTTTTTTTTTGGTTTTTTTGCTTTTATAAGCATAATAAGAATAAAATATCAGAAGAGTTTTTTTTTTCTTGGAATAGGCCTAGGCTACGGCGGAGACAAAACCGCTTCATATTATAATTGTAGTATAATTAGTATTTCAAATAAGGTAGCACATCCGAAAAACAGTAGGGTGTGGCGCAGAACCCAATGTAATGCTGTTGTTAAATATACAGTGTTTATATCATGCATGTCATTGATTGCAGCCTAGGTATAGTCCACGATGGCGAAGCAAGTGGGGGATGCTACGATTCGATGCATAGTAATAAAGATGTCTTGAGTTGTCTGCACTGGATCCCCTGTCTCTTATACACATCTAGATGTGTATAAGAGACAGATATATATACATATGTGTGGGGCGGCGAGGTGAATAATAACGTTCTAAAACATCTCAGAACATCTCTAAATTATTCAACATTCTTCCATATAGACAAAAGGGTGCTGAATAAAAAGCGCTATATTTAAAAATGATTAATATCATAATAAGAGTAATGAATACGGTATATGACGTGTTCTTTAGGGACGATAAGATGTCGTGTTTAGATAATGACAGTGGTAATTACGTAACAATCCCATCGGATTTTCCTGGTACGTACTTGGATTATGATGAACAATGCCAGATGCTATACGGGACACAGGCTGACGGGAACTGCAATCAGAATAAGAAGGTATGGCACACACACCTCCACACCCTACACAAACATACAGGCTACACATATAAATAAATAATAACAATCCTCAAATAGGAACGTAGGAACCAATTTTATCAAAGAAAAATAGTAAGTATACGGTAAATAAAAGAAAAGAAGTGTTAATAGGAGTGAATGGAAAAGAAAATTAATAGAAGAAAACGGATAAGAAATGTAGAAGGAAAATGAAAAAAACGAGGAAAAATAAAATAAAGAACAAGATATGAAAAGGGAAAAAAAATGAAAATTGAACTACCGAAAGGTCCACTGATTAATTTCAGATAAAAAGTATAATACTGTACGTTAAGTATTGAAATGCACGCCATCTTTTTAGAAAGGAGTGTATTTCCTAACAAATAGGCGTCACATTCCCGTCCTTGGCGTATGTATTATACTTTCTTAAAATTGAATTACGGTTAAGAACATTTTAATTTTACAAAAATCAAATTAATTATTACTGTATAATATGAATTATTAAATGCTTCTTTGTTTCTCTTCAGAAATGGCCCGTTATTTTGGGCTGTATTTTCCACTATTATTAGGCGTATTTTAATTTTATTTTTCATTTTTTTTAATTGTTACTAGCAGCCATTATGTCGTAATCGACAGACTCTAATCATCATATGCAGCTAAGTTCCGCGCTTGGTTTTAAACTTTCTGTTAATATACAGACAACAGTGCGTTAAGCCACTATTCACTTTTAATAGGTTAATGCGATTTGTAAATGCATATAAAAAAGGAAAATAATATTTTATTTTACTTACTATTCATTGTATTATAGACAGATTACATTGCTGTGTTGGATCAGATAAAGACCTCGCATGTTAATTATATCCCATTTTGTCCAACTGTCTAATTAAGCCGACTCAATAACTTTGCAAATCTAAAATACATTGTTTTTTAAATAATCGATTTATAGAATATTGATGCATTAATTATGAATTATATTCTAACACTTAGGCGGATTTTTCTTGTGAGCGAATTTATTGTCGTGAGGATCCTGACAATAAACCCAACCTGTGCACAGATTATTATCCTCCTGCTGAGGGTACCCCTTGCAATACGGAAGACAATGATGAAGGTGAAGCATACGATGGATGGGTAAGGGGGCGCTGTTTAACATTTTCTATGTCATGATTCATAAATTCAATGATGTAATCATACTATTAATTAATTAATTAATGAAGTTAATTTTATAATTGCTTTGGGTGTACAGTGGACAGCAGATTGTGTTTATTTACTTTTTCTTTGTGCTTTTGATCGTCAAGTTTCTATGGATTTGAAATTCTAAAATAAAAGATGAATGAAAAACTGTGATACAATACTCAATGAATTGAAAATATCATCCTAATCAACGTCATAATTATCATCATTGTAATCGTCATATACCATGTTGGTGCCATGTTGTTGCCATTGTCTTTGTTAGTATTTCATATACTGTATGCCTACTTGTTGAACCAACTTTATATTATATTGATATTACTGTACTTCTATCGTTATTAGTATTCTCTTGTTTTAAGAATCATTATTATTTTTTATTATCATTTCCATTTAGTGCCGCATAGGAGAGTGTTTGATTGAAGGCGAAGAACCAACAATAGATGAAGGAGAATGGAGTGACTGGGAAGAAGGCGAATGCTCTGTTACATGCGGAGGTGGTGTCAAGTTATTGACCAGAACTTGTAACGTGTAAGTAGGCTCATGCTGACTTGTCATGGCTGTAGGACTTTCAACATAACTATTAAAGTTTATGTTGAAAGTGTTATGTGTAAAATTGTTATTAATATGTAATAAATTTTGTGTATAATAATACAAACTTGCTGTTGAGAATAAGGCTTCATCTTTGTATATATATTACATTATTAAAATTAATTTTTTTGGCCGATTGGTTTATACGTTTATTCATTTATATAAAAAATGCACTGGCAATGAAGCGCACAAAAAATACAATTTATATAGGCCTATATAATACAATTTGTGAAAACCAGACGACTTATTTTCTAATTTAAACTGTTTAAAAAGATAACTGAACAATACAAACGTAATCATTTTTAATGCTGCTACTTGTTATCAACCATAGGCATACAGACAAAAATGCATTATCAGGGTTGAATTCTGCTTCAACAAATTTTATTAATATACACACAAAATTGATTCATAACTACTTTTTGTACTTAATACAGAAATGACGGGGAGGAATACTGTAAAGGGAGTGACACTATGTACGAACTGTGTAACACACAGGTGAGTGTCAAGCCGGGTAGTCACTGCCTCGTACGACGGTCATGCGACGAATACTCCCCTCTCAGCGTTAAACCGGCGCGGCACCGTCAGCTGATGGAGCACCTGCTTGTTGCCCTTGGCACCGTTCTCTCCGTACAATTGCGTCGGATGACGGCCGTCGGGCACAGGGAGCGCCCGGCTCTATTGAAAACACACGATGTTATATCATTGTGGTAGCGTGGTGGTAGCAACATATATTTATACCAGAGGTGGCCACAATGAGAGGGTGGGAGGGCTGTGCACTTAGAGCCTTAATTGTGATCCGAACTTATTGTCGGCATGTGACGTCAACTTATATAACTAACATATCAATTTAATTATTTGTTTGGTTTTATGTCACAAACCTATTACATAATATTGTATCATAATAATACATTAAATGTATTTATATTTATAATAGGAAACTGACTGGCCGCAATTTCACTACGGATACTCCTGAGCCAGATTTTATTGGCTAAATAAAGCCCCCGCATAGGGTCCTATTATAATTTTTTTGGGAAAGACGACTGGATTGTACCTGGATAATTATATACTTTCATGATCTAGTGGTAATAGCCACACCCTCGCCGGAGGAAATTTTTAGACAACTGGAAGGATCTTCAAGAACGATGCCCAATAAGATATTATTGTTCCTATAATAATAATTGGGGTGTGGTTTGCTGTAGGTGTATGTGTGCGTTGTTACCTTTGTAGGCCTAACCTTTGATTTATTCTCTCTCAATAATTTAAGCTATGTGATGGGGTATGTAGCGACATCAACGCCGACAACTACCGGAACCAGTTTTGCAGCAGCGGAAAAGCCAAATTTTATGGTGGCGGTATGTGTTCATTATGCATTTTTCGATGATGTTTGAAATTAACCAAACAATTCCTTTAATTGTGTACTCTTTGGGGTGAGAGAGTGGTCATACTGTAGTATGTTTGAACTTTCATGAAAATGTCGTTGTATCGTCTCGTATTTTTTTTATAGGCCTATTTTATTTTTTAAATGTATGTTATTGTGCAATAATTTTTAAAGGTTTTATAACGAACAGAGTAATTTCTTCTTTGGAGATTATTCTTATTCTGATGAAATAATAGATTTTGTATCGCTCCGGCCCCAGAAAGAATCTATTTTTCAAATGTTCCCAAAATGTAGATTTCTGAACACTAACCATTACCGGTATGTGTACCGATAGCATATGGAAACATGATTTATTTAAACTTAAACATATTTACAATTTATTTTTGCAATCTCCATTACTCGATAAAACAGTCAATTTATTGACAGAACAGTCATTTTGTTGGCAAAAGAGTACCTCTGTCGATAAAATTCATTTTGTCGAAGATATAGCAATCTTCTGCTAGTACAGGTACTGCTCTCGTACCAGCGCCTGAAGATCACATCGTTATGTCGTTGGAGTGTCGAAGTGATATAAGTGTTATCATTATTCTTGTTCATAATTTTCCAGACAACCTATGCAACTTGTATTGTGGTTCAAACTATGAAATGAAAGTCCTGGATGGGGGAAGACAGACCGACGATCCAGGAAAAGTTGCGGACCTTGATATCTGTATTGATGGACAACCATTTGTAAGTACAGCAACTACGAACACACCAAAATAATAATATTATGACGTTATTAATAATGATGATCATATTAATATTAATGTTAATATGAATCAACTAAAATTCATTGTATCTCTAATTTTTATACTAGACGGTTGGTTGTGACGGTTCTTTCACTTCTGGTTTGGTGTACGATAGATGCGGTGTTTGTGACGGAGACAACAGTACCTGCACATTCATTGACAGCTCATTTAGTGACATAAGTAATTTTTCAGGTGAGTTGCTTACTAATATATTACATATATTATTATAATGAAAACAGTGTAATTATAATTACACCAATACATTTGATTAGTGATTATGTAAGAGTTGTTTTATCATTATATATTATTATTTTTTTGAATAAAATAATTTTAGGGCATTTTATTCTTCTGTGTAATGTCCATATTATTATTTAGTATGTTTATGTAGTTTTTAATAATTTACAAGTGCTCTGACTGATTGACTGATTGATTGGTTGGTTGATTGATTGACTGAATGGATTGATTGATTGATATATGATGCACTGTATTCTCTTATGTATTTTCAGACAAGGAACTGGTACCCATTGCAGAGCTCATAGCAGGAACAACCCATATTACTTTTGTGGAATCAGAATATGTCCAGTCCGCTTATTTCGGTAATGCACATAGTCACATGTAAAGTTAGGCCTCATTAGAGTACCGCTGCCTTTTGTTTATGTCATACTTTAGACTTTGGCGATTGTATCCAAACACCACAAAAAATGAAAATATATGATAATAAGATTATTCATTAAATGATTAGGCCTACTTGTATGATTGACAATAACAATACTAAACTAGGCCCAATACACCACAACAGCAATTATGCACTATAATAATTAGCAGTAGTAATTAATGTATAGTAATTATGACTGCTCGCTCAGTAATTTCATTATTACCGGTATATTTATTTTTCAGTATTGAGAACGTCGGATGGTACTTATCTAACAAACTCTGATTACACCATTCGACCTGGGTACACCAACACCGGTGATGCAGGTCCATTTAGGTATGACCCTGACTGCAATACAATATTTACCCATAACCACCCGTACAAAGAAGTTGAAAAGATAGTGGCACCGGGACCTATAAGCGAAACAATCGACGTTTTGGTAAGTGAAACAATTCCTGCAGTGTGGGTCAGGTGAGTTTGTGGTTTTGGTTCTCATGATACCAAAGATGGACAGAACGAGAAGTAATAAACTAACAGTATGGTCCATGTGCCATTGTGCTCCCAATTCTTTGGGTACCCAGGATATAGGTCTATTGTATTGAGCAGGTTCAACGAAGGAACCACATAATTTCAGTATGGTTTCTTGTGGTTCTGATTTTTTTTTGGATATCAAAGATGTATGAAGTAAGCCATATGAAAGAACCACAAAATTACAGTATGGTGCAGGTGATATTATTGTTCTGGTTCTTATGATACGAAAGATGTACGGAGCGAGTCAAAAGATCCACATAATTACACTATATGAGTCAATTTTGGTTCCGATTCTTAGGATACCAAAGATGATAAGAAAGATGAATTGAGATGAGTTAAAAGACAAACACATAATTCAAATACGGTTCGGGTGCTAGGTACTACAGTGGTTGCGGTTCTTAGGTTACCAAACGAAAGAACCACGAGTCGGAATGAACCATTATGTGCTTTTGGTGAGTTCGATCGTTTGATCAAGAATGAGTTTGCACACAGATCGTGACAGAATTGTAACACAGTGCGATTTTTATCGAATCTGAGTTATTGCAGCCGCAGAATTATAATAATGGAAAGACTGGTAAAAAGAGGAATCGCCGTGTATTATATTGTATTAGAATGGTACGATTGATTATGTATTTTTTATGATCTTCTTCTGACTCTATTTCTGCTTTTAGTACTATGTCAAGAAGACGTCCAAATTCCAACCAATACTCTTCTCCTACTATACTCCAACCGGAGAGACAGATACTGATGACGTCACACAAACTGACCAGGAAGATGCAGATGATTTTGCTAATGGCTCTCAGAATGGTAACGAATCATTAAACATTATTTTAGTCGTGTGATAACCAAAAGAGTTTAATTTGTCCACGATTTTAGGATGATAACGTGTAGATATATAATTAACTATGTACCGTATATTTTGCAAAGCAGGGACACTAATTTATAGATATAACAAAAGATAAACTTCACAACAAATGTTTGTGGGTGTTTGTGTGTACCAAAAAGTAAGTCTATGCCTTTACAACATGATATGCGTATAATACAGTACACTCACAAGCAATTCAAATCTATTTATGCATTTTAGAAGATAATGAGGTTGATAATAACGAACAAGAAGAGGAAAATGATAATGAAAATGAACTGAATTCGGCCGAAGAGGAAAATGAAGTAGAAGGTGAAGCAGGAGAAACTGGAGACGCTGAAGCAGAAGATGAAGAAGGGTATGCGGAAGGGGAAGCCGGAGGAGAAGTAGAAACGGAAGGAGAAGCTGGAACAGAAGCCGAAGAAGACGAGGACGCAGAAGAAGGAACAGAAGAAGGAGAAGAAGGGGAAGTGGAAGAAGAAGGAACAGAAGAAGGGGAAGGGGACGCGGAAGAAGGAACAGAAGAAGAAGAAGAAGTAGAAGAAGAAGAAGAAGAAGAAGGGGAAGCAGAAGGGGAAGCGGAAGAAGAGGAAGCAGAAGAAGGAACAGAAGAAGAAGAGGAAGAAGAAGAGGAAGGAGAAGCGGAACAAAACCAAGATGATAATAATGGTATGTTTAAACATTGGGAGCATTGTAATGAGTTTTGGTGTGCGTAGTGATTTCGCTGTGGCTAAATTGCTATACTGTAGTAGTGCTCTTGTTTATATTGTTTTATTCATAATACTCCTTAGTTATCGTTGATGTAAATATTTAAACGTTTTGTAAATGACTATTGTTGTAATTAACTTTTACTATAGGCGCAAGCTGCACAGACATGACATATGTGAGAGGAATGGCTGAAAATCAAGAACAGTGTGACGCAAAGAAAGGAAAACGTGGCGCTTATGACTGGGTGTACAAATTGAGGGGTAAGCAAATATTCACTAAGATGTCAAACTTGTGAATCTTGTATTAGTTAAGATAAAGAACTATTATTTTTACTATATTATTTAAGCTGATGGACCAGTGCACTGGAGTAACCCCTTACTCGTCTCGAGTAAGGGGTTAGCTCTTTTGGCTGCTATTGTATTAATGATGAATGACTGAATGAATGAATAAATATAAATGAATGAACGAAAAAGCGAGCGAGCGAACGAACGAACAAACAAATAACAAATAAATAAAAATAATTGTTTTTCTTTAGCCAATGAGCCATGTAAATTCTATTGTTATTCGGAGGAGAAGGAAGAGCTGGCATTGTTCAATGGAGGCATAGCAGAGGGCAGCTGGTGCAGTAATGACGTACTTCAGCCAAAGAGATGCATAGAGGGCGATTGTGTTGTAGGTTCATCTTTATAGATCCGTCTTTGTTTTGATTTATACACTGTGCAATAATAATAATAATGGTGAAGATGGTAATGATAACGATGAGCATAGTAATGATGATTATGATTACTCTGGCACCGACGACCACGATAATCATTTTGATGATGAGGGTGCTTCCCAGTGGCGGGGAAGGGCTCTGGTGGCCGGAAATGGCACTCGCAGACTAAGTTAATATTTTAATGTAATTTTCTTCCTTTTTCTCCAATTTTGAAAAATTTAGGGGAGGGAGGGGGGGAGACAGCTGGGCCCCCTTGACTCCGCCACTCAAAGGGACCCAAAATATGAGTGTTAATGACAATGCAAAATGCATTTTTTTTTCCTGTCGATTTTCCGCGACCTCCTAATGTAGGCCTACACATCGTTATATGTGTAAATATCCATGTGTCAATGATTTACTTATTCAAGTTTGGGACTTTCCAAACATCATACACAAATTGCTATGAACTTTGAGTCGGTCGAACTTGTACAACACAATTTTTGCTCTCACTTAGTTCATGTTAACCTGTTTCAGGATGTTGGTTGTGATGGGGAAGGAGGCGGTCTAGAATTCGACAACTGTGGTGTTTGCGGCGGCAACGGTGACACTTGTCAGCTGGTCCAGGCGTCTGTACAGCTTTCTGAAGACAGTAAGTGTTGATGTCGACGCTTAGGCGTCGATGACTAGTATTACTAAATAAATCAATAAACGTGTTTCAATATTTTTCATTTTTTATTGTTTTCCAGTTACGTCTATAACAACATTTCCTATTGGAGCTAGTCACATATATGTCTCAGAAAGGAACAGCAATGGACCAAAGTATGCAAAAGGATATTACAGTAAGTTAACCAGAGAGTTACTGTAGGCCTACGTACATACCTTGACGGGATGTAATAAGAATGTTTTATTTCGGTTTATAATTACTAATTTGTTTCTTGAGTAATTCCCATGATCTTGTTAATGTTAAAATTAATGTTTAAAGGAGTACTTTTTATACACTTGTATGTTTAAACTATTATTTCAGTATCAGCTCAAGTTTGTTTTATCGTAAATGTCATGCTTAATGCTATGCAAAACTTAGTCACCTTAGTGACTTCATTGAAATTAAAGACCGACCTATTAGAGTATTGAGCGCTGTGTCACATGATTGGAATTAAACTAGCACGTTAACAAACATGTTACATTGTCATCTACAATTTTGATTGACGTTCTATGCGAAAGCAAGCTTCCTAGAAACAGTGGTGGCGCCAGAGGGGAAGCATAGCCCCCACGTCGGGGAAGACGAGTAAATTTTGTCGGAGAATAAACAAATAAAAAAAAATATTTACATGTAATGTTCGTTTAGCCACCACATTGTTTTCATTAAACTATTTCTGTTATTGTTATATAATTAATATTATTAATAATAATAATAATAATAGTAATAATAATCGTTAAATGAGACTAATTAAAAATAATTTGCGTTCTGTTATGACAAATGCTCGTTTAATAGCCTCATGATGTTTGAAATACATCGTGATAGGTGAAGCAACCTCGACCATGACAGCGTGGTTGACTGATTTCACGCAAAATTTCCAAAATGTAGAATTTCACTTTCAAGAATGAGGATTTTAAAATAAATTAGTTGGTTACATTGCATACTCTTTGTTTCTTGTTTTATTCAAAATGTTTTGGTTTTGGAAGCTGATTTCGACATTAGAAAACATATCCTACATGAAGTCATATTATAGTACTGTAACTTGATGCCTATCAAAATAATACAAATTCGCCATAATTCGTCAAATATCCGCGACTTCCAGGGGCTTCGCCCCCTGGACACCACGGGGGGCCCTAGGCGGCCTAGGTGGCCCCCAGCCAAGTGAGTCTCGATTCGCTTCACTAGCCCCCCCCCCCGTCGGGGCCTTTTGCCCCTCCGTCGGGCAGGTCCTGGCGCCATCACTGCCTAGAAACAACTACAAAAAGAAATACAGTACTGTACAATCATACTATATTTATTGGGTTCTGAATTGAGTGCTGCTCTCTTTCTATCTCTGCTTGCATGCGATTTTTTTTCATTTATACTACTAAGCAAAAAATATACAGTTAATTGTAGTCATTATTTTGATAGTTTTAGAGACAAGTACTGGAAGCTACGTCACTGGATCCAATGAGGATGGCACTGCATCTGAGCCTGCCGATAAATCGTCAGCATATTACTACGAGGTGGGATGCACTGCCTTCAAGCACTATAAGTGGACGTATGAGTCTGAGACTATCGAATCCGACATGCCTCTCACAGAGGCTGTAGAGTTGAAGGTAATCTTGGTATTAATAATTATATTCATATTAATAATAAATAATGATAATAGTGTAGAATTACTACTGTCTCTTATACACATCTAGATGTGTATAAGAGACAGTTAGTAAGGGGCCCGGAATAAAAATCCCTGGTAAAGCTTTCACAGGGAGAGTTTTTATATCTCAGCTACACAATACTGTAGGCGCTGGCTGGTATAACTGGAATAGAATTTTAATTACAGATACTGTAATATCAAAATTCTATTTAATATTAGATACTGTACAGTACCTGTCTCTTATACACATCTAGATGTGTATAAGAGACAGACACAAAACAACAAACAAAAAGTCCGAACCATATACCGTACGTTATACGTTGATCTTGCTCTTTGACAGTCACAGAACACCAGTCACAGAGATTTTTCTTTTTTAAAATCATGAAATCCGGAGTAGAGTAATTTTAATTCTTTTTTTTTCTTCAACAGTACCAATATATCGACCAGAAGAGTGATCGGTTTGTTCAGTACGAATACTATATTCCATAATTCGGTTGGCTCCTTCATACCATGGCGATGAAGTATATGGCTAACTTTCATGAAATTTGAACCTAATACTGGTGTCTGTCAGTAGAATCTAGTTTCGTCTGTATAAAATAAATTATTACTGTATGTTCGTTACACATTTTAACTATGAATAGACAAGCCTACCGCCTGTGTCAATAGTTTTAATATGATAAATTGCTGCTCGAGAGCACGTTGAATTATAAAGTAGGTTGCTGTAGCACAGAGAGTCTCGTGCAACAATCGCGCTTTTTTTAAACCAGGCTCCGGCGGAAAAAAAAAAGATAATTTGTTGTACAACTGATATTTCCAAGACACAAAAACGGTGTTTGACGAGAACCTCGGGAACAGTTAATGAGATAAGATTTTTTAATATTTAAAAACTGGGGAAAAGGTAAAAAAGGGGTAATTACGCCCATTTTCCCTCCATTCTTTATCTCATTAACCGTTTCCGAGTTTTTCGTAAAATTTCATTTTTGTATCTAAGAAAAATTAGTTGTAAAACATATCAATTCTTTTTCCTCTGTAGCCTGGCTTTGAGAGGCAAATGTAAGTATAGGTCTAATTATAAACGTATTTAAAGGTAAATTATTTCATGTTTACTTAATAATCTTTGAATTTTGTAATAGTATATATAAATATATTTATAGACCTAATACTGTGGTGAAGGGATTAATAAAGCAATGCATAATTATTTGCTGAGTTTAGTTCTTTATTTGACCTACAGCACACATCAGTTAATCAGTGTTCAATGCAGGGGAAGGGAGGGCATCCCCGAACAGACCTATTCCCGAACAGGCCTGTCCCCCACCGTCCCTACACCCCTGTCGTCCGACCCTGCGACGTGGCCGTCGGATTAAAATAATTTACCTACCTATCCAAATAACGTTATTTGAGTGTTGATTGCCGACTCTTAATATTTTATAGAAACTAATGTTGATACCCCCACCTTTGAACCAGCAGTGGCTCCAGAAATTTGCCGACAAGGGGTCCAACATCGAAAGGGGTCCGAACTTTAGTAAGGGTCCCGGAATAAAAATCCCTGGTAAAGCTTTCACAGGGAGAGTTTTTATATCTCAGCTACACAATACTGTAGGCGCTAGCTGGTATAACTGGAATAGAATTTTAATTACAGATACTGTAATATTAAAATTCTATTTAATATTAGATACTGTACAGTACTGTGTTCCAGAGATCATCATAGATACTATTTACAATCAACCCGTCAGGTGCAGTTAATTTCCTTTTAGTAAGGTAGTGATACGTTCTTAACCTATCTACAGACATATGACCCATCGAAACACCTGGGACAATAGGAAATAACCAACTTCTCTCTGAAATTAAATGTATGTCAACCTACAAATTTGTCTGATAGTATTCTGGTTTGATGAGTGAGATTGCTGTCGGGGCAAGTAACTAGAGTAGATTTGATTTGAAGTATTTATAAGATAATAATAATTAAACTTTTGGTACATGTTTAAGTGCTTCTTTTTTTTTTTCTTTTATGTATAAGACCACTGCTTGATTGGACGTTTCGGTGAGATTGTTCAGAATAAACAAATGAAAAACAACAAATAGAAAATCGTGAGGCACAGACCTGGGATAACCACCTAAATCCTAGCATAGAATTTACTTCCAGAGGCCCTGTATTATACCAATCTACTGACGAGACAATGCCCAACCGACCAATCTAGAGAATTGGCTTTAAAAAAAATTCTTATTTGCAAAAGTGTATAGGCCCTATATATATAATGATACGGAGAAGAAATAAATGAATTCGGTTTCAAAATACAATTATTGATTTTTGCCCTGTAGTTAAAATTTTACCAACCAAATTGAGATTGGGCTTTAACAATAAACCCTAGAATTAGGCGGGATGCTCATGTAAATATTTTTTTATCTTCCTGTCGTCTTATCTATTCTTAAGACTTGCCATCGCATGACAAGGACATGTATTGTGGGGAGTGGGTTAGTGACGTCTGAGAAATCCCACCCTTTCCCCCAAATAAAATATCAAGTCTTTTTCTCATTAACCGACTCCCGAGTTTTTGTGCATCAAGCTGGGCACTCACTGGGTCCGACAGTTATTGGTCAACGCGATTCTATCAAAACCACAACGGCACGACGGGCGCGTAATGTATCGTTATGATACCGACAATCAGCAGACGGCGTCGCGCTGTCTAGCGCCCACACGGAGCAGAGTTCGTCGTGTGCCCGGCTTTAGAAAAATCAGTTGTACAACACATCAATTTTTCCCCCTCCGGAGCATGGCTTAAATGAGGACAATGAAACCGATTTTGTTGATGGTGATTATAATACAATACTGTAAGTATAACGCCACTTGGTATAATAGCCATTTCCAACAAAAGATGGCAAGCCATCACAGTAAGTACAGTACAATAAGTATATACTGCAGTGGTCAGAGAAAGTACTGTATGATTTAAAATTTGTGGTATAAAATGCCATTAATCACTTTATCACAATCATCAAGCATCATCACAAAAACTAATGAAAGACAGAAACTGTGGAAACAACATAAGGTAACTTTATTGAACATCTCCAAAGAACTAAAATGAAACCATATAACAGGAGCAACACTCAATAATAGTAATGTACAAAGAAAGCAATTGAATCTAGAGGGCAAAACAATTCTAAAAATAACTATACAAAATGTAGGTCCCACTGACAGTTACCTGAATGCCTAATGTCTTCCATAACTATATCACTACCATCACATTTCTACTGCAAATCTACATTAGAGCTGTAGGTAGGAATTGCTACATAGCTCGTCTTCAGGAACCCATTAGGCATCCTATCATTATACTTGTTAGCTGACCATTTCTGCCATTTTATTTATACAACTATGTAAAGGTGTCCAAAATCTACCCTGCCATGTATTTAGTAAACGTATTTTCATGTGTACAAGCCCACACCTAAAATTTTAGGGGTCGGAGACCAGGAACTGCAAGGTACTGTGTCCTGCACACCTAGCTTAGGCCTCGCAGAATCCTGTCTACACATGTATGGTTTAGGCCCCACAAAGACAGCAAAGGCAGACCTTGATAGCCCACAGTTAGGCATAGTATACTTCATTACACATTTATACTTTCAGAACTTGAATCTTAGGCAAACATAGTGTAGAATTACTATTCCAAATATCTGGAATTTGGGGTGGGTTTAAATTCAGGTAGGGCACATTGCATGAAACATGCTCATGCTTGTAAACCTAGGATGGGCTTATTTATACCCAAGAAATTACAGCAGTAAACAAAGATGTGACTAGAATTGGACACTTGTTTGTACACTTTTATCAGTTTGCTTTCAACACCATCATTAAAACTACTGTTAAGTATTCTTACATGAAAACATCAGAGTACAAGTTAAATGTTTCCTTAAAATAAAATTAATACACATTGTATATACAATATCATCTTGTCATTAAAGTCACAAGTATACGCGCTACAAGTTTTGAATTTGATAAAGAAATTATTGTCTAAAATGGCAAGTAAGCTCTTTTCCCAACACTACTTACAGTTGCCAAAAACACTCAAATAAAATATCGTCATCTTCATCTAAAAATAATTTTCAATTGTTCATATATTTGTTTTACAATAGTAATTATGGTAAGAGGTCATAAATAATATCAAAGCCTCAAATTTTAGAAACTATCAAAAAGAATTCTTTTAAATAACTTTATCCTTTTATAGACTGCCGATATCTATTTTGAATGAAGCATTATAAAATGTTGAAACACAGAAACAACTATTTCTTCTTTCTGAGCATAATTGTTGATAGAGGCGAAGTGATACATGTATGTTGCATTTAGCTAGTTTTGCAGTTTGGCAGTAAGTTTATATTAAATTGCAACAAAAGCAGCTGGCTTAAGTTGCTTCAATGACGCATGCCCTATTATTCAAAACTTGAAGAATCTTTAATTTGTCTGTTACACTAAAGGGGTGTGAAAATTTACTATGGCTGTACTTATATTTTAGGTATGTGTAGTGTATGTGTAGTTTACACACGTGTGCTGGTGGCTGTTTGTTAATTACAAATTAATGACTTAATATATTGAGCGAGTTTTTACAGACTCTTAGGCACTGGACAGCTTTGGTAGTTATCATGTCTCTTTGATACATAGCAGATAACAATTACAGTATGCACAGAATATTACACAATTCTTAAATGTGCCAGACTATAGTGTTATTATTTTGTATTAGTGTCATGGTATACAGTACCTTTTGCAGAGTAATATATTAATTATATCAATAACATTATAGGCCATTAGTAATTACCTATACAGAGCTATATTCAGATTCAAAATTTAAGAGTAACCATTTAATATTTCTTAACAAGAAAGGGATGTTTACTTCTTATGGGAAGTTACCTTACTTTATATGGATATATCAATTAACCATAAGATTACTAAGAATATGTCAAAGGTCAATAAATAGTGCCTGTTAATGGATACTGTATATCAATTAACCATAAGACTACTAAGAATATGTCAAAGGTCAATAAATTGTGCCTGTTAATGTAACCTTTCACCTCATTAACATCTTACATAGCACCAGCAATATACAGTAACATGAAGTAGTTGTAATTTAATTTTTTTTTTAAATTGCATCCATGAGGTTTTTTTTCACCGAACCCCAGAATCTTTCATAGTAACTAACAGTTCTCCAGCCATGTGTAATGCCCAGGTAATTAAGTCGTCTTCCGTGACTTACATGAAGCTTATAAAACTGCAGTTGCTCAAACACATGTGCTGCCTAAGAAACATCTGGGGGTAAAAAAAACCACAAACTTTAGTGACTTCTTACAGTATTTCATTTTACAATATATTATTATTATTATTATTTATATTATTTTTTACTAAAAATTGAGGTGTTTGTCTCAATAAATAATGAGCATTTTCCTACCATGTGTAGTGAATATAAGAGAGCTACCTTCAAGTCTCACATAAACGTAACCAACAATTACTTACGTTTTTTTTTTTTTACTAAAAATTGGGGTGTTTGTCTCAATAAATATTATGAGCATTTTCCTAACATATGTAGTGAATATAAGAGATCTATCTTCAAGTCTTACACAAACGTAACCAACAATTACTTACATTTTTTAATGATAATCTCAATACCGAAATTACATACAGTATTTTAATATGTTTTCCATTAAAAATATGTGTTTCTCATTCTAAGCATTAAAATATTTCCATGTTAATTGTTCAGACCATATAACCTGCCCAAAAAAATCTAATGTGTAATCATTTATAGAGTAGTTAAATTTCTATTTTTTGGTTACAAATATAAGTGAAATTAGCTGAATTGAATTTCTACTTTTTTGTTACAAAATTCAACTACAAAAATGTTGATTATAATACTTTACAAGAGACCGAGACTTGTTTTCAGAACAAAAATGACTAATTCTTATTAAGACAGTACTACAGTATTTTCAATATCTCTGTTCCTAAGAGGCAGGTTGCTTGCTGTTGGATGAAAATAAAATTTAAAAAAAGATATTTCTAGTTTGAATACATGTATTGGAAATGGGACATACTGTATAAGATTATCTTTTGATTATGCAATACTAAAACACCTTCTGTACAGTAAACAGGGGTATGACAAAAACATGAATTCATCCAACTGACTCACTTAATACTAATTACATGGAATGGATGTGCATCAATAATTATCACACAGTGAGGAAAACATTAGGGACATATACATTAGCATACTTACATGATGCAGTGGATTGGCCAAATTGTCGATGGATTTGGTCATATGTAAATCGTACAAATGCATCATATTGTTCTGGAAAAATAAGCAATCATTTTTGGTGAGAATTTTAAATTAATGTCAATATTGTATCATTAATAATTATTATTATAACCCAAGGAACCTTGGAGAAATGTAAACAGTACTACAGTAATAAGTGTACAGGTGGCATACGTTTTTCATTAATATACATTTTAATTAACAAACATGATTTGTTACAATCCAGTCCCAAAAGTACATTGGTTTCAAGACAAACTACACAAATTAGCCATTTTCTGTTGAAATGATGCCATTTAAATACAATTGACTAAATGATTGATTGGTAAATTGAATGATTAACTGATTGGCGAATGACAAGGCACCTTAATAAACTGAGTCATTTATTCCCAGGGATGAAAAATTTCAGTTTCAGGATGAGATATGACAGTGCATTACAATGGGTTTCCTGATCAGGATTACTGATAAAATATTTTTAAACTCAAGGAAAAAATTAACCATGTCAGGCTTTTTGAACAATGGTGTTTGTCTTAAGCCCCTTTTAGACAGAGCTGCAATACCGCAATATTGTGGTAAGCACGCCGGCATGGGTATCTGTCTGAAAGTGTCCATACTCCAATATGCCGGCTTACCTTAAGCCACTTTGCGCCCTAGTAATATTGTCGCAATATTGCGGTAACGGTTGTTGGCTTGCTCTGTCTGAAACGGTATACTTGATATTGAGGCAATCAAGCCGGCGTGTGCATTTATGCATAAAAAACAAGGTTAAAGTTGAAAACAATTGCGCGGTGGTATTTAAACCGCCAATAGTACACAATTCTATAGGACCCCTTCAGAGAGAAAAGCGCAAGATTACCGCATTATTGCAGTAAAAAAGGCGCTGTGTGAAAAGGTATAGGCATGCTTAAGGCAACGTCTATCTGAAGGGGCTTTTCAACGAGTGTCCATGAAAGGAAAAAGCCATAATTCCTGATTCAGGTTTATAAGTACTGTACGAGGGTTTAATTTTCGCGAAATGAAGTCCATACAGCAACTTTAACAACTCGAGAAAATAATGTCTACAAGTTTCAAAAACGTAAACAGCAACACGAATGAAAGGGAAACTCCCATCTCCCATGTGGCAGCACACATAATGTTGTTACCAGCAGCAGTACTAGTAGTACTAGGCCTACCACCTGTGGGCCAGGCTCTGCCTGGCTTTGATTTGAATGATTTTCGAGCGAACCTGTTGTTGTCTCATGGTGTGTAGGGTAAACAGCTGTCTCTTATACACATCTAGATGTGTATAAGAGACAGGTCATATTCTTCTTTTATCTGTCCATCCCTTTCCTTCAAGATCCTTTCACATATGATGAGGACTTGTTTCAATGTAAAGAGGGGCTGTTCTTTGCGAGCTGCTGAACATGCAGCAGCATCGACATTGCCGGCCGCCAGGCTTGAAGATGGGCCTGCTGAAGTTGACGGAAGAGGCTGGAAGTGAGATTGCACTAATTCTTGGGTTGAGGCCATCGTTTCTGATGCACTACAATTGGAAAAATTGGCTTCCTCCATTAACTTCTTTCTCCTTTGGAGTCGTTTCCATTCAAGAGTGATACTATTTGCTAGTTGTTCTATATTGATAGGAAAATAACAATAAATGCAATTAACATTTAATTCAACTGAAATATGCAATTGATAAAAGAACATGGTTGGTTAACTACTAACTGTTATACACAATCTTTATTTAAAAACACTTTATACTCATCATTACCCTGGACACCCCAACACAGTACTCATTCTCCAATGCGTGCAGTCGTTTAATGTTAATTGGTGATCCGCTATACTAGCGGATCACCTCTTGTTATTGTCAGAGATCTTTTTTTTTTTTTTTCCCATTTCTTGTTAGCACGATATCTAAAAATTGGCACGAGATTCATACATGCACGCTTCAACAAACATTTAGCTTGGCCTGGAATAGTCACAATAAGGTTAGATGTGTATAAGAGACAGGGTCAGGTTTTCAAAGTGCGCAGTTATGCGTGACGTCATCTACGCGCAATTTTGCGTTTTTACATTATCGATCATATTAGCCTAACCAATAGCCATTTCGAAATCGTATTAAGTGAGCAATAACTTCAAGTCAATGTTAAATGTAATTTACCCAAATTTTACGCTTGCGCGTAATAACGCGCGCGTACGCATGCGTCAAACTTTTAAATTGCTTAAAATCACATTTAGATTAAATTAGAGGACGTTTCAGGCCATTTTGAGCATTTCAATTTTTTTTTTAATTTACCACTACGCGTGCGCATTTTTAAGCGCGCAGCACGTATGGAAGCTAGAAAATAATTTTTTTTGTCAAATTTTGGTTTCCTGACATTGTTTAGACAAGTTTCCAATCTTTTCAATCACTCTATGGCCAATAACAATGCCGTACGCACGCATCAAACATAGTGACCTTCGTGCGCATTTATGCCGATATACAGTGAAATTTTGCTAAAATCAGGCCTAATTTTAAACAGTTACAGCTCATTAGGATGAAAGGTGACCCCCAATTTTTATTACATATTCTGAAAGCAGATGAGTTGCAAATATGATTTTATAGGTCATAATGGCTGATTGGACATTATGACGTCATCATTTTGCCATCTGAATTCAACAAACTGAATATTATCGATGACCTCATTTTAGCAAATGCGCATTTGAGCGTATCTCGCTTATTTTTGATGGATTGTCTTCCAACTTTGAGTATGTTGTAGCTGAGGCAATTGTCTTTCATATATGTTGCAATTTTGTACATTTTGATGACGTCATCATGGTCAAAATATAGGGTTTTGCTTACCCCCTCATCTTTTTTTCGTCCAGCCTTTGATGACCCCATAATCACCTTAATCAGTCGTGATTTCTGAATCATATTTAGTGGGTATAAACTTCAGGCCATGGTTTAATGTTATGTACATTATATTTTTGTGCGCGCGTAATA